AGCGCGGCCCAGTAAATAAAATGCAATTCTTGGAATTGTGGAATACGAAGAAACGTAACGGTGACAAGGCAGTGGACAGAACGTTTTACTTGTAGTTCACGAGCACCTAGTTTTGAAGTTGATACGAGGGCTATACAGTTATATTTTTAACTTTTTAACTTTTAACCCAGCCGTTGCCGATCTGAAAAACCTGTATTAAACAGAAATTAAACAGCAATTAAACATGAAACCTGTATAAACGAGATATTCCCCGTCACAATTGTCCGAGTCCATTACAATCTGACTGCCGCTATCCGTACAGTCATCTTCCGGACTGTTCCTCTGTTCTGCAAGTGGTTTAGTTTTCTCTTTATTTATTAAACCAATACGTCTGTGTGTCTTCTCCACTTTGCAGTGTAATGTGAAATCTTATCTTCTTTTAACTCGACCATATTGTAGTTCTTAGGGCTTACTCTGTCTTAATAAACGAGTTTACGTTCAACTCTTCATCACCTCGCTTTGACAACACGAAACAGTCCAAACAAATTAAAATAAAACGTATACCAACGTCTACCTAACAAAAGTTATCCCTATTCGGCAACGTTAAGTAATTATGAGCGTTAAAATTAGATTGAAATAAGACATATATAAAGTCTCCTGGTAAGATGATCATTAAATACTATAGTGGTGTTTGAGGACAGACAGCAGGTCTGCAGCTGTACTATAAGCCAATCACGTTAGGGGTAGTCACTTAAACCCCCCCCCCCCCCGGCACCCCCCCCCGGCACCCCCATTTTAAGGTAAATTCGATAACAAACAATCAAAGCACCATCGGTGATTCTATCTCCTCAATTTTCGAAAAATCTCTAATCCAATTTGCCCCATCATATCTCTCCCCTTGATTCTTTTATTGATAAAAGTTTTATCCACATCTTCCAAAATGACTACTCATTTAAATGGACGGAAATGCATGACCTGCAGGCAAAATTTCCATAAGATGTAAATCCAAGCACTGGCCTGTTCTTGGTCCAGTGGTGTAAAGAAAATTGATTTTTAGAGATTTTACCGGCGTATCCTCTAAAATCATCTAATTTGTTCAATTTTAGGGAGGGGCCGTGCGCCACAAGGGTAAGGGGCAAACGGGGGGTGGGGGGAGGGGGCGCTTTTTCAGTGGGGGGGGGGGGGGGGGGGGGGCTTTTCAGCGGGCGGGGGGGGGGGGGGGGGGTGGTGCCAACAGGCAACGTCACTGTCTTGGTCAGATAAGAATGAGAGAAAACATGCATGGGTAGCATGATACCAAATTCAAAACCATCAACAGGCTCACAATTTCTAATATTGAAAATAAAATAATTTCAATACATTGATACAGTTCGCTATTTATGTTCAAATACTGACAAGAAATTCCTCATGCGGCGTGTGTTATAGTTGTACTACACTATACGTGTATAACGCTATAATGTAACCGAGCAGCCATTTCAAATGCTATTGTTCCTCAATTACCTACTATACCAAGCTGTATTGTTTTCCATATATTTTACATTGCCCTTGACTGAGGTTCGCTTTTACATAGCCCTAGACTGTGTACGCTTCTCTCGTTAATGCTGGTTTTATTTGGTAGTTGACGTTCGGTATAACCGGATTTTCACAATGGTCAAGATCTCAAGATCTGGTCTCACCGTCTTTTAAAATATTTGTCCGCTCACTTTTCAGATCACGGTCTTCCGTTCCCACTTTCGATAAGTCTTCCTGTCACTCTGTAACATGGTTTATCAATAGAAGAAGCTGTCGAGATAATTGCTTACCTTTTGCGCGTAAGCCCAACTTATTATAGCTTATGATCGTTTTGGATTTTTATTGTTAGCCTTCTCAATAGTTTTTCTGTTGCTCTCGGATTTATGATGTATAGCGATAAAAAACGAGCGATCTTAATACGTTATCTCTTTACAAAACCAGGTTCCTGACTCGTTATTTCCCTTTAAAAATACATTAATTCCTCGTCTCTAAAAATGTTATGGATTTCCTATCTCACATCTCATAACGTAGTTGCTGCTCCTTATTAGCAAGCAGTGACACAGCTGTAATTGGTGTTAGAAATTAGTGTTCTCAAAACAGGTCTTCAGTCGTTCAGTGAAGAGTTGTTTCTCAACATGGTGGTGAGCAAACGAATAATGATTGAAGTGTACAGTAAATGAACATTTATACGAGAAAGAGCGAGGAAAATAATCCATTTGTATAATACTCTTGGAATGTTAGAACTCTGGAATAATTTTCCGAATTGAATTGCACTTTTTTGACTTTCATAATTCTATAAATTTGCGAAGAAGATAGATGCACATTTTGAAGTTTTGAGTTTTCCTTATGTCTCAATACAGATGTCTGGAAATTAGAGACATTCTAATTTTAAAGTTACTGATTCCCACACTATAATCAAGACAGTGAGTGAATGTGTGAATCATGATGCTTCAATGTGTGAATCATCATGATGTGTGACCTCCATATTTGTTCAGTATTACATAACGAACCCGGACCATGAAAGCTTCACGTCTGCACTTTGCAGGCTGTAGGATCTGCAGCAACAATAGATCGTATATAGATGGCAGAAAAGCTTACAACATAAAGTTAATTCTCAATATTTACATATAACCATTGTCTAGATGTACTATACATAGTGTGTCTTATGTTAATGACTAACGGTTCCTTTAGTGTAAGAGCGTTTGCTTAGAGAGGATGGTGCTTCATTTTTGCACATTTTCCGTGAGACTGATGTTAGGTTGTGTTTGATCGGATAAAGTTACTTCTGGCGTGTGCAGTAAATGAACATTGCGAGAAAGACCAAGGAAAATAATTCATTTGTATATTATACTTGGAGGAAGGTTGGAATGATTTTCCTAATTTAATTGCACTTTTTTGACCTTCCATATTTCTAATTAGGACGGTTTTGAAGTTTCATTTCTGCACATTTTCCGTGAGACTGATGTTAGGTTGTGTCTTGTGTTGATGGGATAGAATTACTTCTGATGGGCTGGATCCGTCTGATGCTGTTCCTCGTGTGGTGGGCTGTAAATTTGAGTGCTGATTTCTGACAGTTTAATGGTTGATTATTGCGCTGCTTGTAACCGTATGATACAGTGTCCTGAGGAACACCAGCGCCGATATCTTTAGTATCAATTAGAACATATTGCTGGTCAATAAAACAACGAGCACAAGCTATAAATCAGATAAACGGGGTTGCTAAGTTTTATCCAGTACGATCGATCATAGCAGTAGCTCGAATGATTACTCATATTACTGACTACTCATCCATATAAGTATTTACCCGGTATATTGTTCACTCGTGGACACAATATAATGATACTTCTGCATTGTGCTAAACCTCACCACTCTCTACTCTCTACTCACCACTCTCTACTCACCACTCACCACTCATCACTCACCACTCTCTACTCTCTACTCACCACTCACCACTCACCACTCTCTACTCACCACTCTCTACTCACCACTCACCACTCACCACTCACCACTCACCACTCACCACTCACCACTCACCACTCTCTACTCACCACTCACCACTCTCTACTCACCACTCACCACTCTCTACTCACCACTCTCTACTCACCACTCTCTACTCACCAGTCACCACTCACCACTCTCCACTCACCACTCACCACTCACCACTCACCACTCACCACTCACCACTCACCACTCACCACTCACCACTCACCACTCACCACTCACCACTCACCACTCACCACTCACCACTCACCACTCACCACTCACCACTCACCACTCACCACTCACCACTCACCACTCACCACTCACCACTCACCACTCACCACTCACCACTCACCACTCACCACTCACCACTCACCACTCACCACTCACCACTCACCACTCACCTCTCACCACTCACCACTCACCACTCACCACTCACCACTCTCTACTCACTGTGGGTACAATTATTATAAGTCTTGTAAAGCGGGACAAGGAGCTTGGGTACTGGATCATCATCCTCCCTATAACTCTATAAGAGTTAGCATAATTATAGCTGTGGCTATCTCCCTTGTGCACACTGATGCACAGTATTTAATGTGTAATGTAGCAAATCCTATCGCTCTTGTGATGAGTGAGTGTGTGTGTGTAGCTGTGTAATGGTATAATGAGTGTACACGCAGGCCGCAATTTACCTGCCAGCACGGGTAGGATTAAATGACTCTTCTTTTGTACAGATGCTTGTATTCCTGGATCGTTTTCCTGTGTTTTGTAGTATTAACTTGTAGTTGTACCTATAGGTTCACTTGCTTTGATATTCGCACTGATACACTTTAGCCGCATCATCTAAACTTTGGTTTGTGGATTGTGCGCACTTGTGACACTCGTTCACTTTTTGTTAAGCTGACGAATTATATACATGGTCCATCAGTTCAGTTGCTGCTTTTACTTCGGTCCAATAACTTCGCATCCTTATAACATATCCTTGCCTACGATCGTAATTTGTTTATTTCGCCTTTAAGGATAGAACGTCGTTTCTGCCTTGCTATTAGATTTGTCTGATAAGTTAGATTTGCCCATAAATCGTATTCGTTTATGTATAATGTACATTTTTCGTTTTGTATTGCACTAACTTATATTATTATGATCGCTTAATTAAAGTGATTACTTAATTAAAGTGATTACTTAATTAATGTGATTACTTAATTAATGTGATTACTTAATTAAAGTGATTACTTAATTAAAGTGATTAATTAAAGTGATTACTTAATTAAAGTGATTAATTAAAGTGATTAATTAAAGTGGTTAATTAAAGTGGTTAATTAAAGTGATTAATTAAAGTGATTAATTAAAGTGATTAATTAAAGTGATTAATTAAAGTGATTAATTAAGGTGATTAATTAAAGTGATTAATTAAAGTGATTAATTAAAGTGATTAATTAAAGTGATTAATGAAAGTGATTAATTAAAGTGATTAATTAAAGTGATTAATTAAAGTGATTAATTAAAGTGATTAATTAAAGTGATTAATTAAAGTGATTAATTAAAATGATTAATTAAAGTGATTAATAAAAGTGATTATAGGGGGATGCACCAACCCAAATATGTTAGTAAGCTGGGATCAAGAGTTCATCGCAGATAAGAACAAAATATTTCATTATGGCTGTATAAAACTTGTTATACGATTCCAGAAACTCAACACAGGTGAACTTACACATTACTTACACATTACTTACACATTACTTACACATTACTTACACATTACTTACACATTACTTACACATTACTAACACATTTGATATAACTAACATATATCAAATGTGTAACTTATTTTCAAATGTGTAAATTATATAAGTTTTAATCTAATTACAACACTATAAATTCATTACATTTATCGAGTATTATGTAAGTATGTATTGCGATGGAAATATTTTAAGCGGGTAATCCGGATCATTAATCCTGTCCAAATCCAGGATACATAACATGCGAAGACTTGAAAACTCGTATGAAAAGCATTAACCCATTAGGGACGATAGGGTCGTTTTTATGATCCACCTTTTATAGAGGACAAACCAAATTACTAAACGCTATAACGAATCTATAGCATATATGCTCAAAATTTATTGGGCTAATATATAGGGTCATAAAAACGACCCTATCGTCCCTAATGGGTTAAGTGTAACATACATTGTAAATTTCAGTACATTGTATATTGTACATTTCCTTAAAGTAAAGCTCGTGAAAATTTCCATTCATATCGGGCTGGCCCAAAGCGCTATACGTTACAACTCTTTGTTCACGCGGTAGGTTTGACACGTATCATTATTCAACTCGAATCTGTAAAGGGCGTTGAACAGTGGCTCGAATAACAAAACATCATCAGTGGTTCCAATAGCGCTAATGGCATCACTAGTGTCTATTTTACATGGAGCATGAAATGGGCGTCAATTTAAAATGGCACCATCGGATACACTGGATAGTTCATACTTTCAGCAACATGTGATCCATATTTGGCGATTTCAATACCCTACATGATGAATGGCGATAACAATGATTTCTGTGAAGATACAAACTTTTCATCTCATTAACCTCCAAATTTTCCTCGAGATGAACACCGGAACGTATTATGGAAGTGCCGGTGTTATCACGTACTGTTCCGCACTCAGAGACATATAGAAATACTCATAAAATAGGGCAATATACATTTCAGTTGATGACCGTCCAGCGTGGTTCGCTGTTTATCCGCCTCGTGTAGTAGCCGGACATTTCTCCTACAAGGCATCCCCTAGAAAGTCTAAAAGTAGTACGTTTAGTTGCAATGCTCAGGGCAATCTTTTAGTTTACTCTTTCTCATATTCTCATATTCTCATAGTAGTGTTTAGTACTTTAGTTACTAAAGTACTAAACACTACTATAGGGACAAAAGGATTTCGCGATTATTTTGGCCAAAAATCGCGATACCGCGAATTACATTTTGCGGTATATCAAACTATACATAAAATTTGTCGCAAATAATGGGAAAAATCGCGATTCCGTACATGCCGCGATTTCCTTTTGTCCCTGCTTTAGTAGGAAGCACGAGATCTATACCCTTCACAAATCTTTCATATAGTTGACCGTGAACCTAGGGTATCAGTCTGACTATAACTCTTGATTCAATGCTTTAAAAACAGTATTATATGTTTTTGTACTTTTTTTCCTGAGTGTTTTGTTCCTGCAATTTGTGCCTCAGTAACTTTATCGTTTCCCGGAGAGCTGGCTGAAATTCTCCGACTGATAACAAAAGCCTTATTTTCACCATCAGTTTCTTAAATCTTGTTAACTGGGAATATCCGAATATTATACAGGGTGAGTTGAAAATAGTGTGTGGAAAGTAAAAATCTATAACTTTTTTTATGAAGGAGCAAATTTTGAAAGGTGAATTGCTATCAGTTCATAAACTTTACATATTTCATTCTTGCCTCTCATTTGATTCTAACTCATAATTTGGTTGATTTTTGGCAGTTTTCCAAAAAATCTTAAATTCGTCCTAATGGGGTTCTCAAATCGTGTGCCCTGAAAATCGAGTCTAAAAATCTATTTTCTCCTACATTTTTAAAGCAATCACCCTGAAACTTTCAGGATATGTTCTAGGGATCATTTAAAAGAGATAAGCCAGACAAAATTTTGAGATAGGCCTTTTAAAAAATTTTATTTGATTTTGAAAATCGTCGACCTCAAAAAATCATCAAAAAACGAGGTCCAAGATTTTCAAAGTCGAATAAAAATTTTTTAAAGGCCTATCTCAAAGTTCTGTCCGGCTCATCTCTTCTAAATGATCCTTAGAACATATACTGAAAGTTTCAGGGTGATTGCTCAAAAAATGTAGGAGAAAATAGATTTTTAGACTCGATTTTCAGGGCACGCGATCAAAAATCGCTCGCGCAATACAATTACCACACACGCGCTGACCTTTGACCGGCAATAATTTCGGCTAGGAACGATATTTTTCCACGGCAATAAAAGCATCTGATAGATATTACTCCCCTCTATCAGAAACAACTAACTAAAAAGTCGATTTCGAGAAAATTTCCATGAAGACCCCCCTGCCCCCATACAGTCAAGTCGGCTATAGACAATTGTCTTACACGTTATCAATATGTCCTAGCTAATAAAGGACGATGGGTTGAGCAAATTATTAATTATTAAGTATTTTAATTGTATTATTATAAAAAGTATATATTTTCATTTCCTAAATATGCAAAAATTAAGTGGAAATTTTATTTGTCAAAAAAATTAGAGCCATTTACTTTCCACACACTATTTTCAACTCACCCTGTATAAATTTATTGACATAAAAATTCACATCTATGACCAGACGTTGAAACCCCAAACCCATATTAATTATCACTATTAGTATTAGCATGTAACATTTATTCATCTTCAGATGACCAAGCCTGGTACCCAGAATGCACGTCAATAGACAACATACCATATGCAGCAAAGTACAGACCTATATCCGTTGACATATACCCCGGGGTAGTCCTTATTGCTAATGCTGACATATTCAACTATCATGACCTGCAAGAAAAATATAAGGTTTGTGAAGTTTATTGCTATTGAACTTTTGCTTATATAGTGTACCTTAGGTTCAATATTTAGAGTTAGAAAACGCAGCTTAGGTTAAAAATTGCATTATGAAATATGTCGTTAAAGTATTTCAATATTAACTTAACTTTAATCTTATCTAGTTCCAATTACAAAGTGATCGACCGGAGGAGATTTTAATCCACATGTTCAAACTCCACGGCATGTCCGCTGCTCTGAACGAAATACAGGGAGAATATTCCTTTATCCTCTGTGACAACGAAATGTAAGCTGTTTCTTTTTCTGAACGTTTATTATACAGGTCACTTACACAAGTAGACACTAAGAAATGCTTCGTCCCGATCTTAAATATTTTATTTTGACTTAATAACGACCTCTATCGTTAATATGATTGATAGTGTAGTGTGCATTGATATCTTTATGGATTTGAACATATATTTTTGATCTTGGATACAGAGGAAGGAGATGCATGATAAGTAACCCAAAAGTAACTCAAAAATAAACTAAAAGTAACTCAAAAGTAATCCAAAAGTAACTCAAAATTGACCCAAAAGTAAACCAAAAATTACCCAAAAGTGACCCAAAAGTGACCCAAAAGTAACTCAAAGGTGACCCAAAAGTGACCCAAAAGTGACCCAAAAGTGACCCAAAAGTGACCCAAAAGTGACCCAAAAGTGACCCAAAAGTGACCCAAAAGTGACCCACAAGTAACCCACAAGTAACCCAACTAACGTGTCAGGTCCTATCTAGTAAGAGATGGTACAGGAACAAGAGGACTATACTATCTGGAGTACCCTCACAGGAGTGGACCAATGTGTGCCGCTCTGAGAGCTAGTCTTCTTGCTTCTTACCAACATTCTGTAAGTTTATTTTAGTAACGTTATTATTTAAGTGAAAGAGAAGGTTTGAGATAATAAAGTAAAGAAACGATAGATTAATGTGTATTTCTGTTTAAGTGCAACTAAAATGTAAGTTGATGATTCAAAATCTATCAGCATCGAATAGAGTTACACGATAAGAAATTCTCGTATGAATGCGATAGGGTATGTTTTACAAGAGCATGCAATTAATTGCAAAAACTTTAAGTTGCAAGGAGGAATGCATTATTTTATAAGTTTATATGATGCGATAGGGTATGTTTTACAAGAGCATGCAATTAATTGCAAAAACTTTAAGTTGCAAGGAGGAATGCATTATTTTATAAGTTTATAATAAAGCAACTAAAGAAAAACCAAATATAGTAAAATCTCAATATACCGCCGCCGCTCGGGAGAACGAAAAGTGCATGATATAAAACGAAAAGTGCACGGTATGGAAAATAAATTTTCGTATGAAAGCGATAGGGTATGTTTGATACTTTTAAAAGATCATGCAATTAATTGCAAACATTTTAAGTCGCAAGGAGGAATGCATCATTTTATAGAGCAACTGAAGAAAAACAGTATAAAACCTCTACAAACCGAAAATAGCATTGCATAGATACTGTTTGATTGCTACTAAATCCGAATTTAAATTTTATCAATTACGTACTATCGTATAAGCACTTGCAGCATTTGTATAGAACATTTTCAGTAGTTTATGACGTCAAATCCTTTTATCAGGTCGGACAGATAAGACATGTTCCTCTTGGTTCTATTATCTACGGTGATAACAAAAAAGAATGGAGGAGAAAAGTTTTCACAACTGTATTTCAACAGCCATCCTATAGGCTAGACCTGCTTTCTCCACCTTGTAAAAACGGCATTTCCGCCTTGGGCCAGGTACAACTCCAAAAAATATTTCAATTTGTTCCATCAGTTAGGATACACCAGTATTATATCATTTCTAAATATCAATACTTTTGTATTATGGTTCTTGATGCAAATTTATTTCAGATGAGAATGCGTCTAAGAAACATAATAAAGCAAAATATAACGTGTCGAAGTAAGAGCTCCACAATAGGAAAAGTTGGGTTGTTGCTTTCTGGTGGTCTGAACTCCAGAGTTATTGGAAACGTTCTTAGAGATTCTCAAGTAAGATACAAACTAGCATAATTGCATGTTTGTATCGTTTGAAAAAGCTTGATAACACAGAAATATTATTATCAGCAGTTCATGGGCATACGTATAAATTTTATCATGTTTGCTTATATGATAACAGTTTGTATTAATTTAGGTGAAAGGACTTAAAACGTTCTTTGTCGGTACAAAGTCAGCCCACGAGCGTAAATCGAGTGAGAACGGAGCAAAATCTATTAGTTCCATACATCACGACATTATGTTCGATCCGAAACAGGCTTTTGAAGATATTCCTAAAGTTATAGAATTAGCTGAAACTTATGATACGTCGTCAATCAGAAAGGTGAGTGGATTTTAATATTTATAGGACGTACATCATATATACGTAGTTTTCGTCTACGATCAACAAAAATATTATTAATCAATTCTAATAAAACTATTTGTTTTGAAAGATTGAAAATTTGAGCAATTATCTATTTTTAACTTGGTATCATGCGTTCCGAAAATAAAACTCACTCGTGTCTCCGAAACATGTAGGCGTTACTCCTGTTCACTGTGTGCAAGTACATACACCAACACAACGCTATTGATGTGCTATTTTGCGGTGAAGGGTTAGACGACATCGCAGGTAGCCAGATCTACTACAAGCAAGCTAAATGTGCACAGGAGTTCCAGACTACGTTGGAGAACAACCTTAAACGCCCCATTGGCAGGTTAAACATTATTCAGAATAAAGTAAATTGATATCCAGATTTTGTATGATAATTGAAAAACTAAGAAAAATAATCAACTGTATTACAGCACATATGGTAGCTTGGTTGGTAACAACATTTCTTTTTCTCAGAGAAGTTTACGATAAGATTGGAAGTTGGTTTGGAATAAGAATAGTTTTCCCTTTCCTCGACCCTCTTTTCACGTCTCACTACTTAAACTTCTCCGCTGAAGACAGGATACCTAGATTTGGAATTGGTAAAATAAATTAAAGATTTCCTTTTAATTCTAATAACTACTGAGAAACAATTAATGTAATAATAAAGTTGCTTCGAGTGATATTAAGATAAATTAGCGTGTATAACTGATCATTAATGAACATATCCCCAACAAAAACATATTCTCAGAGAAATATTTCTTTCGAGTTTGTCTGGATCACAGTGACTTGATAACGGAGGAGGTGCTCTGGAAGCACAGGGAGGATTGGGTTGATTCAGCTAGCAGCTACGACAGGTGAAAAAGCTGATTAACTAAATGACTTGTTAAGTTAATAAATTAATAACTAATTTACGAATTAATTAGTTTTTAAGTTAATAACTTAATAACTAATTAACTAGTTAACTGAAAAATTTGTAGTCTCCAATTTGGCTTAGATTTAAATCAGCTGTGACAAACTGGTAAAGAATCGTATCGCCGAAAGAACCAACTCTCTATCGTACTTGTAACGCGTGTTATTGCAATAATAAGCTGTGGCCTCGTGACGTCATAAAGTCCCTCAGTGCGCGCTTGCATAGCGTAATTTACATTACAAATGTTTATCATCGTCAATAAAACACGTGTAACTCACTCGAATTTTAGAATTATGACTATTATCCTAGTTCTCCAAAATCCTTATAGTTTTGGCTATCATCCTAACTAAAGGAATAGTTGATTTGATGTACAGTGCTCACGTCATGATTTTAAACAGTGATATATATAGGTTCTTGAACAGTGGCGGGTGAATGTACGGTTAGAAAGTTTCTGATATTACAGTTCTTATGTCATATGTGATAATTTTGGATTGTTTTCATTGCTTAATTACACAAGTAGGGAGACTGTACCGATTATTTTTCCCCAGTCCATGAAACTCTAACGAATTTAGAAAGGATCTAGATAAGTAGGAGTTTGTTCAATTCCGAGAGCAATTATAGTTATAGCATATAAGCGAAATTTCTAACATTAATCCGCATGTGTCAGCCAGTACAGGAGACAATAAGTCTGGATACTTTACGGCCGCGTTCCTCTGGGACCATTAGCAGAAGTAGCTTCTATCAGAACAGTGCCGTGGGAAGAGAATTCCCGCCAAAATACCCGGTCTACCAAATAGTAATACTGATGGGATCGGAGTGTACAGTGTGCGGTGTGTTTTGAATTAGTCTTACGGCTTACCTAGTTGTTATCCTAATTGCATTATCATCGGTACATAACATAAATAAACTACTGGTAAGTTTAAATACCAAGTGCAAACGTGTTCAGTCAATCGACCCACTGAACAACTATAGAATTTCCAAGACCCTATTATTCTCTGGCCATATATTACGGCACGATCGATTGTTAGGTGGCTAAACGACCAACGTTAATCAATACAATTCTAAAACTATGAGCTAGCACTTTAATCTAAAAATACACTTTTTATATTACTCCTGATTTTTACATTTCACGTAAAACATTGTCGCCACAGGTTGATCATGGACACTAACAGCTTGATTTGCGATAAATGACTAATGAGTTTCTCTAAAGTTAACTCTAAAGTTGTGTAGTCCAGTCATTTATGGACATTTATGGAAATGAACCTGCAAATATTCAAATACTCACGAAACTTTGCACAGACCTACCCGAAGGTATGAATAAACGATTTTCGTTTGGAGACATTTTTTGACCGTGGAGAAAACCCAGGAGGGCCACGCCCGTATTGACCCAATAACGTAACCGACCCCTTGCTTCTGAAGGTCGTAGAGACTTCAAAATAGGCTTGAACGAAGCCGCATATGCATGTTTATATAGGAGTTATTGAGCAACACATGGCCTAAAATCCTTGCTTTTCGATAAATTCGCCAAAAACCATTTTGGGCGTGGTGCTGAGCCCATTTTTGATAGGATCGTGATAGAGTCTTTAGAGAGGGTGCAAAAGAACCGCAATTAGCATATTAATATACGACTTACGAACAAACATATGCCTTAAAGTGATTACTTTTTCATTTATTGGCGAAAAACTGATTTTCGGTTCCAGAAATCATGCAAAACTATGGATATCTAATAAATTGGGCTATGAAGGCCCTAAAGGTTTTTGAATGTGTGCAAATTGTGCAGAATGGCCATGTTTATATACAACTTATGAAGCAACATGTACCCTAAATTACTTACTTTTCGAGTTATTCGGGGAAAAACATTGTATTATGTCCATTTTCTACCTGTAAAATACAGTCTCACGAGCTCTTCTGCGCGCGCAAGGGACTTTATGACGTCATAGCCAAAATAATACAAACGCTATTTACACGCGTTAGAGAGCAGTTAGAGATTTAGGAATTTCGACACGTTGCTTAGGTTGCTATTTGTCACAATCTGTCAAAATATGAGGACAACTTTTTTTTCAGTTAACTGGTCCTTTAAGCTATTATTAAAAACAATTTCTTTAACCAAGCCACAAAGATATTCAGTCTTAACTGGCTATCTTTGTGATTTGGCTGAAGCCATAAGAGGTGAAATAGAATGCTGTAATAATAGTGGTTTCATTTTTATTTTAAAATAATGACACGTCTTGTTCAGGTTCTGGGTTAAAACATTGCAAAGGTTGTGCAGTAAATTCGTGGACAATGAAGAGTTTCAAAAAAGAGACGAGGTATGTTTATAGTTATAACTTGACCGATTTTTGTTTTACTTAACCTAACTTTTTGTATATAAGTAGTGTATGTATTTTAGATTAAAAGTGTTGAACTATAAATATTATCAAAGGGAAATACATCATATCATAAAATTTAAGTTTTCCGAGATAAGATGCGAAAATGAACCAATTTACTTCATTTCATAGAATTTCAAATAAGCATATGACATTACACAATTTCATTGGCAAATGATTTTAAAATCTATGAGCCAAACATCTATGATAAACCAGACAATGACCAAATTCCCCCCTCGCCAGACCTACTCACACAACTCTCCACTAACAACAGAAGAATTCTTATACCGTCAAACATTCGAGAAGATTTTCCCAGACCAACAGTCCTTAGTGCCAGCCATCTTCAGACCGAGTTTCGGAGTAGGAACGGATCCCTCGCCCCGGACCTGGAACATTTATCCTCAACACTTGTGTGTCGACTTTCTGGCTACTGTTCGCATGATGATTTGATTATTGTTGTTGGCTGTTTGTTCTTTTAGTTAGACTGCTATTGTTAGTGTTCACTGTTCATTCAAATTCATTTGATCGAGAGACCTGATCAAGACGCGGCATATTATAGTTTTCAACCCAAAATATTGATGAAATGCTTTCGGTTTAAACTGTTTTGAGTGTTTTTATATGACAGTATAATGTGAGGTCGACACTTTGCTTTACTTCGAGCCCTTTAAAAAGACCAAATCAAACGAGTTAAAGACAAAAGTCGGACAGTTTCAAATGCATGGGGCTACGTAAACGTTTTATGAGATCCAGTTTTCTTTTTGATAATGATGTGTGTTTGATATCGATTTTGTTTCTTGTAAGAATATTTGGGGTTGTTTATTTCTTTTCTGTGACAGAAAAATTTTATATTCTATTTATTAAATCATGTGGTTTCATTCTGATTGATCTATGAAATTTTTTTGCAAAGTTATAATCTCCGAATTCTAAAGCCTAGCTATAACAATTGCACGAAATATGGATTCTGGCTGTGGAAATTAGGAAAATCTATATATGGACGGATTGCTTTTTACAGCTGCCACTCAAGGTTTTTAGTTGAATACCTCTACAATCAGAATTTTCACAAATTGTAGTTATGCGTTAGTAATGACCAAATCTATAACTGCAGGATTATTTTGATAAATTTTTAAGTTTTAATTAGGTTGATAAGGAACAAATAAGATAATGGGCTGTCGGCGATCACCCAATATCACGAGCTCGTTTCTATACACGATATGATATATAAATATATATAAATAGAATTAACAATTAAATAAATATAAAGAAAATAGGCTTCAGATTTAACAAGACGTATTATTTAATCATTTTCATGCCATTTTCTTCAATGGAATATAAATCCTGTATTTATGGAAAAGCATGTCTTGTCAGCTATAATCTATAAGGTACTAATACATTTTTATGATGTCATACTTATATATTCATAATACATAGACATAATCATTAGGTACGTGTTATTTTTATCATTTTAAAGAGGGTGTGGTCCGTGAATCAGGTGTTTAGCGAATTATTTTAATTGACAAAATGGTTTAGCAAATAGTTGAATACGCAAAATACTGATCACGTTTTGATGATTGTGAATTACGTTACCCACTACGACAGTCGCCGCCCAAATATTGTAATTTTACGATGTTATGTTTTCATTCAAATGTTAGAAGGTTAGAGAAATTAAACAAACAATGATCAAGTACCCGAAGAAATATTTCGAATATTTGAGTGTGATCTCACGTATGATCCAGATTGAACACCTCCTTTTTACTAGATAATTAGATAATTATAGCGATGTTAGTATGTGAGACGCATTTCTATGATGGACAATGATGTCTAGGAGTGGTATTAATCGATATTCTGGCACGCTTTTCGTTTCTTAGTTCAGATAGTTTTCTTAAATAGTTGTCGACAATTATGTGGTTTCGTATTTGTATTATTTGTTTTTTATTGACATGCTCAGCAAGCAAAACAGTTGGTGAAGGTAATCGTAAAGGTAAGGGAATGCACATTTTGATTTTCAACAGGGGTTTTTCCGATATTGCTTATCAGTTATAATAGAAGAATAGACATAAAACAGAATCCTCAAAATATAATAGACACAACTAAATTTTTTAAATCTTAATGACAAGATAAAAACATGTCAACCTTATATAATATATTAAATATGAATGTCGTATTTAAACTGATTTCTAAACAGTTGCTACAACCCTAGCTCATTTATAGCAATTTCACGACATGACTGTATGTGCGTAACTTTGTCCTTAGCTGTAGAATAGTCGAGAATCGTCTAGTTTAGTTCGGCAGCAACTTGGGCTGTCATATTTGAATGTGTTTGTTTTTTAATATTGCATTACAAATGCATGTATGCGATGAGAAAGGGTTGACTAGAAAAGCAGAACAATCGAATAACAATATTAACTCGTATCACCTTAATAACACCAGAATGTGTGTGTGTGTGTGTGTGTCATGTGTCTGTCTGTCTGATCGTCTGTGTGTAATTTCCGGTCGGTTATACAAAAAAACGGTAAGAGTTACGGGACTGGTTTTTTCGGTATAGTGCCGACAAAGCTCTGATGAAGCCCATAAGAAAAAATTTTTTAAATCGGCCGGTGGTAAGTGGTTTAATTGATGGCTTTGTACCACAAATGTTACATAAAATAGCTTGAGCAGAACGGCAAGAGTTACGGGGCTTGCTCGCTCTCTCATTACTGTATAATATGTTAATGTTATAGCTGCATTTAAGTAGCGTCATAATTAGATTAGCCCGGAAGATTCGCTGTAATGTTATACCATAAGCTTATTAGGGGAGGGGGGACTGTTAGTGTTTGGGGTCTGTTTGGACTGCAGAGAGAGATAGAGAGAGTTCATACGACAATGTTATGCGTGTTTTCAAATATAATAGGCGGGTGTGGTGCGGAGTTAACAAGGGTTAATTTCTATAACGATTTAAATAAAAATGGAAAGCGGTTCAAGACGGGAGTGATGAGGTGTAATAGTCGGTGTTCAGACCTTATGATCATGGAATGTGGTGCCTCATGGCAAATAATGACTTAATTATCCACAAAAAATAACTGATTATGAGATTATTGTTTAAGAAACTATTGGGTCACCTAATGCGGGTTTTGACTCAGCGGGTAATTACTCCTACCCTTTTTAACTGCAGAGTAACAACAGAGTAATTAGTCAACAGATCGCTCATGTTGACACTGATTTCAGCAAGTCCAATCCTATCAACTACAGCAAACACTCAATGTACTTTGGAACCTGGAATGTTTTATCTTTAGTCAGCTCATCTTCACAGCTTTATCAACTCAGTCAGAACATTGATCACTACAGTCTTGATATTTTGGGTATTACTGAAACTCATATGCCAGGATCTGGAAGTACACTTTTGGACAATGGTAGTCTACTTATTCATTCTGGTAGGGGAGATGGTATCAAAAGGCAAGGGGTTGGCCTATGTCTTTCCAAAAAGGTCAGGAACTCCCTGATCTCTTATGTACCTACATCAGAGCGGGTCTTAACAGCTAGGTTACACGGCAAACACCTCAACATATCTGTTGTTGTAGCCTACGCTCCGACTGACGGTGCTGATGACGGAGAGAAAGATCGTTTTTACAACGTTTTATCAGACACGTTTGGTGAACTGCCCCGACATGATCTGAAACTGCTACTGGGTGACTTCAATGGAAAAGTTACTTCAAACAGATATGGATTCGAGGGAGTTATTGGTGGAGAATCTCTCCATAGTTCATCAAGCGACAATGGGACCAGGCTCATGGATTTCTGTGCAGCCAATCAACTTGTTATTGGTGGAACTCCGTTCCAGCATAGAGACATCCACAAGGGTACATGGCGGTCTCCCAACGGGTTAACTGTGAATCAAATAGATCATATTTGTATTAGTGGACGATTCCAACACTCGCTACTCGATGTTAAGGTATGTCGTGGGGCGGACATTGGTTCAGATCACTATCTTGTTCGTGGACGGCTGCAAATCAAACTGCAGTCGGTAGCTAAGATCACTGCTAAAAGGCACGATGTGCCTGCTATCGAACATTTGCGAAACTCGTCTAAGGTTCAAGAGTACAACGTGGCTCTTCAGAACCGTTTTGATTGTCTGGCTAATGAGGTCAACCTTGAGGACATGTGGGATAATTTCAAGCAGACAGTCACTGATGTCTCGATGGAAGTGCTTGGAAAGCGTCCCCGGAAGGTTAAAGAACAACACCTTTCGCAAACCTCTAAGAACTTGATAGAGCAACGGGGAATGTTCAAACGGAGGGATCCCACTTCAAACGTCAATAGATCAGCCTACTCTAAACTTAATAAATTAGTTAAGAAAAGTTGTAAAATTGACGACAACAACTGGGCTACTAAAATAGCGACTGATCTAGAGGAGGCTTCTAAGAAAGGCCAGCAAAGGGAAGTTTGGGATAAGATAAAGAAGATTTCTGGGAAAAAGAAGAAGAAAGTGGGTATGTCAGTTAGGGATAAGGATGGTCATTTTATTACAGACCCGGACAGTCAGAAGGAAAGGTGGAAGGAGCACTTTACTGAGCTCTTAAATCCTCCACTATCGGATGCCAATCTTGATGACCTCGATGGTTTGCCCTCACAACCGAGTTTTGACTACCTTTCTTGTTCTGATGGACCTCCTTCTAGAGATGAGATTAGTTATGCTCTAAAGAAACTGAAGAACTGCAAAAGTGCAGGGGTTGATGAGATAACTAATGAACAACTTAAGTATGGTGGAAGTGCTCTTGTTGGCCAACTAGAGCTACTGTTTAAAAAGGTATGGGAGGAAGAGGTGATCCCTGAGGATTGGCTTAAAGGTGTTATAGTGGTTATCGGAAAGAAGGGAGACACCTCATACTGCTGCAATAATAGGGGTATAACTCTTAGGGCAACGTCTTCTAAGGTTCTTCAAATGGTTCTTCTTAAGAGGCTGGATGTTGGAATGGAGTGTCTTCTTAGGGAAAATCAGTGTGGGTTCAGACGGAACCGCTCATGTATTGATCAGATTTATTCCATCCGCACCATTATTCACAACTGCATTGAGTTTAACATTCCACTTTATGTTAATTTCATTGATTTTAAGGCAGCGTTTGATTCCATCAGAAGAGAGTTTATTTGGTCAAGCATGAGACACTATGGACTTCCTGAGAAATATGTTAGAATCTTTCAGGCATTCTTCAACGGAACCATGAGTGCTGTCAGGGTTAATGGTGAAATGTCTGATTGGTTCTCTGTTAATTCGGGCACTGGACAGGGTGATATCCAGGGCCCTCCTGTATTTAATTTCTGTCTGAACTTTGGAATCTTTTTGGCCGAGGTTCACAAGGCAATCAGTCATGGTGCTGTACTGCAAAAGGAACTAAAGGGTGCAGATGAAAAAGTTATTATGGATAGTGACTACGCTGATGATCTGGCAGTGATGGACAATACTGAAGAAGGGCTGCAAGAGTCCACTGATCTTATAGCTTATTACACCTCTTATGCTGGGTTGAAGATCAACGCTAAAAAGACACAATGCATGGCGATCAGCAAGTGTGCGTCCCAGCGACCTTACACCGAAAGAGACAGTATAAAGCTAACAGTGGAGGGAGAACCTGTTGAACAGGTCAGCAACTTTGTTTATCTTGGTGCCAACATCAGTGGGGATGGTACCATTGACCGAGATCTTGACATCAGGATCCAGCGTGCTAATGGTGCGTTCCATCAGCTTTGGAAGATATGGAACAGTCGAACTATAAGAACGCCCACCAAGATCCGTATCTACAAGGCTGCTGTTATTACTATTCTGTTATATGGAGCTGAAGTGTGGAACACAACAAAGAAGCAGATGAAACGGTTTGAGGTCTTCCATCTGACCTCCCTGAGAAGAATCTTGAAGATAAAGTGGTTCTTCCATGTCTCCAATGAAGAAGTTCTCAGGCGTGCTGGAATTAAGTCTATCGAAACTTTCATCGGTGCGGCTAGACTAAGGTGGTACGGACATGTTGTCAGAATGCCAGAGACGCGGTTCCCCAATTTCTTACTGGATTGGAAACCAAACTATGGAAAGAGACTGAGAGGACGACCCCGCAAAGGCTGGATGGCCTGTGTACTCGAGGATGCGGCTGAATTTACAGGTGTCGATAACATCAGCAGAGATGCAGTAAAACAGTTGGCTCTAAAGCGAGTGGAATGGAGGAACATATTACGCCGTAGAAGAGATGTGTGTGATGCAGGCCACTCCAACGACTAGGAGGAGACCTCTTCATGTAGCATGTATGTATGTATGTATGTATGTGTTTTTAACTGCGGCAGTGAAATCCCGGCCGAAGGCCGGGTTACACTAATAACTGTATAAGATGAACTAAAACTTTTTTATCAAATTGTATCACGAAATGTCCAATAGTTGTGTTGAAGAAAAGAAGTGACGTTGCCGGAGCTCGCAGCACCGTTAAAAGAGAAGATGACCCGGAAGATGACCCAGATGGGCCACCAATTCCAAATCCAATTAATCCTATGGAGATCGTTCCAGAAACTACGTTAGGTCAGTGGCAATTCCAATTACTTATCTACTAAATTGCAGCTGATTCTTCAGCTTCCTTATACAGGTCATGGGAAATAAAGTGAAATGATAGATTCAAGCTGACATTTATCAATCATCACTTCCGATTTTTAGCTCAATAATTACTCTCCCTTAGCTCAATCATTATCAAAAAATAATGCATCTTCTAGTTGTAATCTTTCAATCACGTTTATGCTATAAGTTTAATAATTGGCGAATAGATACCGGGTGGGCCAAAAGTCTCAAAAATGAACTCAAATATTTTTCGATTTGACAAATTCCTCGAACCAGTGGTGGTAGTAAGTCATACCAGAAAAAATTATTTCAATTGGCCACTCAGTAACTGAGCTATTAAGGCCAACGTATGTCCACTGACTTTTTGCCCACCCTGTATAATATTAATATAACAAACCAGTGAACAGTACGTCTCATTCAAGTGAGAATATTCGAATTTCAGTTAGGAAAAGACTTCCCGACGAGATAATCCCAGTAGCTGCCTCACAATCCCACGCCTTCCAAGAAAAGGACAAAGAGAACGCCGCTAAATATGCAATAGATCTGGACCTGGAAACAACTTCTGTTACATCCCACGGGATGGATCATGTTAGTTCATTTTCCGAGTCTTCCAGAGCGCCATTATTTCTATTTTCCTATTTCCCCAGTGTGTCTTCCAGAGCGCCATTATCTCTATTTTCCTATTTCCCCAGTGTGTCTTCCAGAGCGCCATTATCTCTATTTTTCCGAGTCTTCCAGAGCGCCATTATCTCTATTTTCCTATTTCCCCAGTGTGTTGACTCTATTAATTGATTGGTGTTTCGGTGTCCCTAATTTTGTCCCTAATTTTGTTTACACTTGGTCACTTGTCAAGGCATGTAAGGTCATTCGGCGATATTTTCTTTGAAATAAAATGATGTATTTGTGTAACAATTTGAAAGTTTATTGATAAAAAAATATCACTGACCAACTATCTGTCAGAGTGGAGAATCCTGGCTGAAGATAACACTTGATAAGGTTTACTGCGTGCGACACGTGGTGTGGTTTAAGAAGAATGGTAGTCCCCATCTCACTTGGAATTGTACCTCTGCAGACTGTGACATCTGTGAAGGAGGCTACTGGTTAGTTTTCTGTGGTTCCTGGGACAACACATTCTTGTAGAGAAACCTTTTGTTACGAATTTATTCATAGAATATGCTATTCTTCCCCTTTTTTATAGGTGTAGTGATTACTCCATGATAGTTGAAAGTGAAAGAGAAACTAAAGATAGTGTTCGTCCTGTCCCTGGCTGTAAGCATGGAGACAGTGTAAAGTTACAGAGAAATAGTGGTCACGAGTTCTACATGTGGGAGATAGCCATTGTGGGCACTCAAGGTATGGGGAAAATTATGCATTCATAATTTATGCATTCATAATTTATGCATTCATAATTTATGCATTCATAATTTATGCATTCATAATTTATGCATTCATAATTTATGCATTCATAATTTATGCATTCATAATTTATGCATTCATAATTTATGTATTCATAATTTATGTATTCATAATTTATGCATTCATAATTTATGCATTCATAATTTATGCATTAGTCAACTCATGAGGTTTAGATTAGATAATACTCGGCCCCCGTTATAATTATGTGCTTACAAGCGGTTTAAAACCCAAACTTACCATCTGTAGATTGATTGTATAGCTAATCACGTTCGTATCTTCAAAAAACTATTCGTTATTTTAATCAATTACAAATTGTTACTGCCAAATAAATAAAATGTATTTCAGAATTGAGCCTATTGTCGGAGAATCTGGTTGCAACACAAAAAAGCATTGGGTGGGATGGAGAACCTACACGAGCAATCGATGGGAACAGAAGTGGGGAATGGAGCGACGGGTAAATACTATTGCCTTATTAGTGCTGACCATGTCACTTTATTTAAAACAATGTGGACTATGTTTAGTCGAATACAGGCTTACTTGAATTTGTTTGTCATTTAAAAGTAGTTAATAAGATATTTTGTTTTTAGATCCTGCACCCGAACTGAAGGAGCCGCAGGAAACTGGTGGATGGTGGAACTTAACCAGAACTACAAAATTACAAAAGTACTTGTGTATAACAGAATGGATTGCTGTCAGGACAGAATTGATGACGCAAAGGTTTGTTGTGGGGTCGCGTTTTAAAGTCCTCATTTAACTTTTGGCTTTTTTAAAGAGCTAAGTGCAAAATACTTGTATAACGGGAAATGAATAAGAATTGACTTTTTCTAAAGCCAAGTTTTTAATTTGAATGAATAGATAAACTTCATTGCCCAGGTGTATGCAGGAGCAGTATATTGCGGTGATATTAAGGTTGAGGAAGGCAAACAAGTGTACGAGATATCCTGTCAAGGAGCAGTAGCAGGAAGTATTAGGATAGTTCAACCTTACGATTATTTAACTATCTGTGAAGTTGAGGCATTTGGAATACCGACTGATGATGTAGCCCTCGAGAACGTTGCTACAGGTATCCGTTTGATCTACTATTGACTGTTTATTGTTGATCTTATTCCATTGGATGGCAGCGAAGGAACTAAAGAACTAAAGGAATATAGGAACATTAGTTTTATATAATTTATATTTAAGTTTTACAATAATTCTAATTTAAAACAGGTAAACCTGATTGGCAGAGCAGTACAGGGTGGGGAGGATTACCATCACGTGCCACTGATGGGAATATTAACGGAATATGGGCCAGGAAGACCTGCAGTCACTCTGCAAACAACCATTTCAACATGTGGAAGGTTTAAACTTATATTTATACAATTCCGAGCATGGGTTGAAAATGAAGATGATCACGACATTTTGAAGCATCGACCAATTAGTTGGGTGCCAATTTTAAATTTGCTCGACATTAAAATAATGTGACATACACATTACATGAGGTCATATACATCAGGTGAATCTGATAGAAATGTACGATGTAGATTCAGTAGTTATTTACAACCGGGTGGATTGTTGCCAACCACGACTAGACGGTGTTCAGGTAAGATGTTACCTTATCGGAATTTATTAAGGCAGAGATTATGAAGAGGAAAATTATTTTGGGTAAACAATTCTAATCAAATTTAATTTGTGAGGATATTACGTAAGCGCTGAAACGTTCAGTGACGCACCAACGTTATGTCCGAACAAATAAATTTCTATAATCTTAAGATGCTTCTTCACTCGGAAACAAACTGCCAACAATTCTGTTTATCAGAGATATCCTTGGGAATCCAACTTTCAGTACCTCAATCGTGTCTTGTGCCATCTTCAGTAAGCTTGTAAGATGGTCATTAAAGAAAAATTCAGTCAAAACAGTGGAATTTGGGTTGCGGAAAGCTGAAATTCGAATATGTCCTACCGGTAGGACATATTCAAAATTGTCATTGCATTAAAGTTTTCTCCGGATATACTGCTTTGCAGTACTTTTATGGCAACTTGTGTTACTCTCACCTACCTCACTGATTGGTCACTGGTCAAAATTTTAGTCAAAACCGCGAAATTTCGGTCAAGGGGACGGCAGAAAAGCTCCTCTTCAAACATCTTCTGAAATCTCTTTTTTATATTCTGATGATTTTCCGTTTATCAAAACTTTCTTTGGGAATAAAACTTTGAGTACCTCAATCGTGCCATCCTCAGTAGTGAGGCGTTAGTGCCGAGTAATGCCTCTGGGTAGTGCTCCTCAATCAATCAGTAACTTCTTAGTTTACCGACTTATTGTTCATCTTTCTGTTCAGGAAATATCATATTTGAAAAAAGGACAGACCATGTAAATGAGGTAATCGATCATTCTCGTAAAATTATCACGCTGATACCCTACAACAGGTGTACGTTGGTAAAACACTGTGTGGAGCTGTTAAATGGGAGACTGACAAGACTGTGTATCGAGTGAGCTGTTTCGGGACCGCTGGTAACACTGTTAAAGTAGCACAGGATGATGAGTTCCTAGCTTTATGTGAGGTGGAGGTCCTAGGTAAGCATTTGTAATTTAGTAATGAAACAATAAGTTTCATTTTACATTCCTTTTAAGCATGTCAAGTGGTTGTTTTTAGTGAGACAGGGTAATTTTCTCTATGATGATTGCAGAATTTTGCGGTAAGTGAAATTTAAATCTAAGTAAAATCCCACTTTGGATGAATTATGTTCAGGGAAACCGAGTGTCAAGCGTGGACAATTCATAAACGTCGCTGGGGATGGTAAGGCTACACAATCAAGTACTGGGTGGAACGGGGTAGCAGGAATGGCTATTGATGGAGACACTAACGGAGACTTGCTTGGGTAAGCTAGTATGAATTTACGACAATTAGTAACTGGGTTAATTGCAAGCGTTCTCAGAATAACGATTAATTATTGTTATCAAGCTTAAAGTGAAATTTTGCAACAATTCACAGAAATAGAGTCGTGAAATAATAAAAATAATCACTGTAATAGTCACAACCTTTGGCAGTATCTAGATAGCCCGACCCCTGTCCGCGGACAAATGTCCGCGGACTCTAAGAGTAGGACTAAAGTTCGACTAAAGGATTAACAATGGTACAAAACAAACGATTTAAAATAATATCTTACCTCGTTTTCTGCTGTCTGTAGACACTTTGCCCATTGTCCCCTGTTCGCTAACAGATCTAACCCCGCTATAACATCCACATTGGCAAGCTCCTCGGCCTTGCCTCCTCTCTTCAAACTCTCAACGTACTCCTCCTCCACCCTGTGTTCGAAATGTGGAGCGTGCTCCCTCGCCACTGCTCGAGCCCTGTCCCACTTGTCCCCCAGTATAAAGGCGTCAATACTCTCCTTGTACCGCTCAATTGACAGATACGCCTCGCCCGCACTCTCGAACCTGGAGATCTCAGCCAGCCGTTCTGCTACTGTTGTACCCACGTGACTTGCTTTCATTGGCACAAACTTCAGAGCCAGTTCAAGAGCTTTGTACCAAACCTAGGAGAAGAAAAGTTAGCCCCTGAAAACTCAAGAGATCAGACGCACTGTGTTAGAATTTTCTTTAAGAATATTTGTATATTTTGAAATTTTTGCAAATGTTTGGTCATAAAAAATATATTTTTCGCACAACGTAATGGTTTTACTCAATTTACAGTACTACCTTAATCTTCTAATTTGACGTTCTGTAGATGCATTTGATAAAACCTGCTTTGTTCAACTTGTTTTATCGATACACTTGCTCGTTTTTTATAGATATCTTGGTTGCCCGACTATAGTATGAAGCAACTCATGGTTATGTTTGGATTGAGTAGTTCTAGTTGATAGATGTTTCATGTTCGGGTTGTGTGTCGTCACATACATACATGGTAAGGTCTCCTCCTAGTCGTTGGAGTGGCCTGCATCACACACATCGCGTTGGCGGCGTAACATATGTCTCCACTGTACTCGGTTGGTAGCCAAAGCTTCTGTTGTCTTGTTGTCGATGTTTTCAACACCTGTAAACTTAGCAGCATCTTCGAGTACGCAGGACTTCCAGTTCTTACGGGGTCTGCCCCTTGACCTCTTTCCATAATTTGGCTTCCAGTTCAACAGGTTGTGTGTCGTCAGGTTGTAAATATCATGTTGATTGTTAATAATAAGTGTTGTTGTATCTTTGTTTGTTGTTAATAATCTTTAACATACTTTTAGGAGTTTTATTTTTTACGCCTGCTTTTTGGTCGTCAAAAAAGTTTTAAAATCCGTTTCTTTTTTTCTTCCTCATTTTTCGATTGTTTTTTTTTTTGTACTTGCAGACAGCTTATCGTACAACAAATAACTAATTACTTTAAAACAGTCACAGCACCAGAATGTACAATAAGACAGAGTTCTTTGAGCACTACAAGAGTGCAGATCTTACAGTCGGGACAATATATCTGATCTGCTTTGCATTTGGACTCCCGAACAACATCTTAGCTCTCTGCTTCTTTGTGAAACAGCGCCTGAGATCCTCTGAGCTGAACGATCACCTTTACATATTGACCACTGTGAATGATGCATTCATTTCACTGCTCACCTTGAACTATGGTATGACCATGGTAAGATACAGAGATGTTTGGCTACCAGATTTCTGCCCAACCCAGCATATCCTCTTCAAGATGTCTCAAAGAATATCTGTCTTTCTGGTTGCCACACTTTCACTTAGTAGAACGTACATCCTTCTCTTTCCCCTAAGAAAAGTCAGTCAAAGATTAGTTTTGAGCCTCATTGCTGTACTTGTTGTGTCCATGGCATGTTTCTTCGCAATTCCACCTTTTGTAAAGCTGGTCCAGATAACCTACCACTGGGAAGATGGCTATTGTTGGGTTGAATCAATACCAGGGAAGAACATGACTAAAGTTTGGGATGTAATTGACAATACCTTGGATACCATCTTTCTTGCATGCCCGGTCCTTCCGGTAACTGTTAGCTGCATCATTGCATCTTACAAGATCCTTTCTTCGAGGAAAGACAAGCCTGGGCTGATCAAACTTGCGAAGCAAAGTCGAGCAGCTGTGAAGAATAAAAGAAACCAGATTACATTGACCATTATCTTGGTTACTCTTCTTTACATCGTCTCCAACATTCCACTCTTCCTGAACTACATCCTGTATCTTATAACGATTTATCGTTACAAGTACCCTGGACCCTTCTACAGCTCTCCTGTGGTGTACTTCTACGCCTGGAATTGCACAGCTCTTCTCAGCACAAGTCTGAACGCAAGTGCTAACCCGATAGTTTATTGGATGAGATTTGGAAACTTCAGAGAGTGGATAAAAGGAGGATGTGGACTCAAGGCAACCACTTTATCTTCACTGAAAACGGGTGAGTTGTGCAACTCAAAGTCAGCGATCCAGCAGAGTAAAGGCGATTTGAGAGCTCAAACAAAATCTGTGACGCTGAAAAGCAACAAAACTTCATCAGATGTGTAGACAGAAACTTCTGGAGGGATTTGGGAGGACCATCGCTCTGGACTCAGACTATTGAATTAGTTCAGACACTCTTACACCGTGGAAACAAATAACAATAGACTCGAATTTCTTATTATAAACTGAATAAACATACTATCACCTTATATTATTAAGTCCTTTCACAGTTGCATTCAAAAATTGAATAACCGTTGAATTACGAAACAGCACCAAAATTAGTCCCACAAGGAAGTACACCTTCAAGCACAGACTCCCTGGCGTTAGGTTGCTAAATAGGCTATCTTGCATTCATAAACATAAGACTTATTGTAGATCTTCAAAGATCTTGTATTAATATATTTTAAAATTAATATCAATGATTATTTTTACCGTAGCTAAACCTCCTGCTTTGACTTTAAGTTTTGCATGGCCAAATAATTTTAGTTGCATATTGCAATATGAAAGGAAATTTATATCTTTCTTAAGTTTGTTAATGATATTTAACATCTGTTATTACTCACTGCCAAGATCATGGGTAAATACTGTTTTTTATAGTCTTTATATTTTTAATACTTTCAACACTACTATATAACAAATAATTTGAGATCATGAATACGATGTAGTCACATTGAAACGTCGAGTAATCTCCTTTCGCTAATAAGAGCATTTTTACTTGTCGCAACAACCGGGATAAAAATAATTTTACACAGAATACACTGTTTTTTAAATATTTAATTATGAGTGAGGTATCTCAATTCTCGTCAAAATATGCTACAGATTATTAACGCGATATTTCCCAGCATCTAACAGAACTTCACTGATTTCATAAATATAGACAAACAATTATATTTCCACAATTGGTTTATTCTCCTCTCTGACGTAACACTAAACACAACAATCATATACCAGTATCCGCTGACATGGTACTCTTCTGTCTAAAGGACGAAATTAATGGAGGAAGGAGTTGATGATAGAAATGATTGATGCGGTCTGATGGAGTGTTATAAAGTTGTTGTACTCTATAAGTGTGTATTCACCTACAAGCATAACTGCTTGGCGTGATGAGGTACATCTTTGATTGGTCGAAGGTCTTTCAACAACACAGCATCATCACTTTCATAGTAGTCCCCGGCTTATGACGGGTTCATAGCGGTATTAAACATGTTTTTCTGGGCCCAAACATTCTACGCTCCTACTATGCTATTACTGGTCTCTTGACTAACTCCCAATCATCTGTCCATATGGTATTGTTTCTGGACAAATAGATGGTATACGATGCCCTCAGGCTGATCTCAGCGATCTTCATGCAGGCCTTCTTCTTCTCTTTGTTGTTTACGTTCAGGTGGTTCATAAAGGTTGGGAGGCTATAGTTGTAAATGCCTCGAGCTCCCACTTCTACTGTCTGGAGCTTGCAAGCCCATCCGTTGGCTTCTATCTCTTCTGTCAGCTGCTGATATCTCTTCATCTTTCGCTTCTCTTGATCAGCAAAGTTCTGCTCATTTACACAAGTCAGTTATTCTTTATATATTGCATGATGTGAACTGATCTCGTAAGGTTGCTTAATCGTTTAATAATTAGCCTTGACACCACCTCTGATTGAAATTCGCGTGCGATGATGTTAACCCTGCTTGATTCAGGGGATACTGGTATCATGCAGTAATATGATCTGGGAGACAGGTGTTCGTGGACAGTTGTCCGTGGGCAGTTGTCCGCGGACAGGGGTCGGGCTATCTACATACTGCCCAACCTTTTTGATTTTCAAAATAATGATAAGACCTTAACTTCAATACAACGAACCGACTAATGGAGCTGAACTTTCAGTGGCAGCTGTTCCCATACAGGAAATGTTGATGATGGCTGGTGGAATCTCGAGTTTCCTGACCCTGTCGATATCAGGAGTGTTGTTATTTATGATAGAACAGATTGTTGTCGAGACAGGATTGATGGGGTTAAGGTGATCTAATTGGGCATTTTGCTCCTTTATAAAAAAATTTATTGTTTTTTTAAATCAGGACATTTTTTTTGAAACACGCTGTATTTAACATGCAATGTTTCACGTCTTGGCAATGTGATTTTAGCTTTAGCCAATAACTAGTGACTACCCTTAGATGTAAAAATGATAATATACAGTATTCTGAATGTAAACAATAAACATACCTCTTGAACCTTTATAGGTTTACGCGGATGAAATGCTCTGTGGTGAAGTTAACTACGTTTGGGGACAAGGTGTATATGTCATCAACTGTGAGAGTGACACCTCTGAGAATGTGTTTGGAACTAATATCCGTATAGAAGCAGCTCCTAAGCAATACCTTGCACTTTGTGAGGTAAATCTTCATATCCTTAGCTTTAAAGTCGAGCTTTTTATTTAGAATTAAAACAAGTCCTTCATATCATGTTTCCTCAGTCACACCATAATAATGAAGATAAAAAGATAAATTCTAGGGTTAAAAAGCAATGCAAAAAATCGTAAAGTTTACCAATAAAAAATAACACTCAGGTCAAAGTCTTCTCAGACCCCACCGCTGAGGTTGGAGAGGATCGTCTGGTTAATCTGGCGTACCTCAGACCAACATCACAATCTTCAACGGAGTGGGGAGGCGTCTCCAGCCGTGCTGTTGATGGTAATGAAGCCGGAGCGTGGAAATCGTAAGTTAATCAACTTTGCTCGTGGAACTGCCGCCTCGATTATAAAGATTGAAATGTTGACAATTATCTCCTTTTATCACCACAAATTCGTTATGGGGTTACTTGCAACACGTTTGGTTAGGTGTTTATAAACTCAAGTCACTTTAGTAAAGTGTCTAATTAACCGGTAATTAATCAATTAAGAGGTTACCAAAATGCTATTTGAGTTAACAATACTCCCCAGGGGTGCTTGCACTCACACTGCAAGCGCAGGCTGGTGGATGGTAGATCTAGAGGACAACTATATTGTCAACAAAGTCTGGGTCAAAAACAGGATTGATTGTTGTGGTGACAGGATCGATGGTGTGAAGGTAAAAATTACAATTTTATCGGGGGAAATTCCTTTTTTATTTGAATGATTATACGACTGGATAAGACTTTGAGTATGTATGTAGTAGACACATGATTGTAAATCATAGTTCGAAAATACAACTTAAAATTACACATCCATTTTTTTCAGATTTACGTTGGAGATGTTTTCTGTGGGACCATCAAATACGACCCTCTAAAGTTCAGCTACGAAGTGATCTGTAAGGAAGGTCAAGGAATAGTTGGTGACACAGTGAAACTTGTAAACGACAAAACTTACCTGACTTTATGTGAAGTACGGGTGTGGGGCCCTAAGGAACCGGTTGTTATCAATGTTCCTGATGTGGAGGTTATTGGTGATATGAGTGATGCTGCTGATGATGCTGTTTCCATTGCAGGGTGTAGTGCTGGACAGGTACTTTCTTCTTTCTTTATTTATTTTTTATTTTGTTTTTATTATGTTTTTTTTTTGTATATTATCAAGCAACCAATGCCGTCATTATTTGTAAATACAACCTCCGACTTCGCCAAAATGTGACATAACATATATAACTTGCAGGTCGTTATCTACTGTGACGTATTCACCGGGAATGTTGGTCTTTACTCGGATGGAGTGCTGGTTAATCCGAACACGGGATCCTCTTGTTCAGCTTATAACAGTGCTGGAGGTCAGGGTGTTATTGTAAGTTTTTAATACTTTCAACACTACTAAATAACAACTAATTTGAGCCTGAAGATGGCGTTGACGCCTCCATTCCAAAATTTGCCTCCATTCCAAACTTCTTGTTCCATTTGTCCTTGTCTCTTCCAACCGGATATTATCTAACTATCAGTATATCAGTAAGTTTATAATACGAATTATTACATTAAATCCCGCTGTCGCCTTTTATTTGCCTTCCCCCTTACTGACATGTTTTCCGAAATTAGAATTAGAAACGATGGGTACTGCCAACTTTTAGCTTTAGCTGGTATCTTCAAGCTTTGTTATTACACAGCTGAGATTCGGCGAAGATACAGGTCGTAATATGGCTTTGAATGGTAACGCAAATTTTACTGTTTTACATGTACAGCTGGTACTACTACATTTTAGGGTGAATTGATCGTGGTATAAATTATGTATTGACAAAGAGAGACAATATGTATCATACAAAATTATTCGTAACACATTATAATGATATAATCACATAAACCTTTGAACTTGCACCTTAACAAAATATCGTTTTTTAGCTCAAATGATAAATCCAAAAAAAGTTGTATATCATACCCATTTTATTAAATGTTATAATGTAACTTCTTAAAAAGATAGATTCAAGGCCAAGAGTAAGATGAGCAATGAGCATACTGGTTCCAATAATTATAATAGGTGAGAAAATCTATAAACTGAGGGATCGCTCGGTAAAGTGGCCTTTGAAGGGGATGGGATAGGAGTGGTTCTGTTTACGTAATATGTGACCGATCCCGATACAAAATATTAAAGCACATACTAATCTGGTTTTTTTTTTCAAATAATGAAGAAAACGCATGCACGAAGAGCATAAAATCAACTATAGTCCTTTACTTCACGAATTGATCTTCAAACGACCAACTTATGCTTGTCCGACTGGAGATCTGTAGATTGAGTGTCCAGAGTTAGTTCCAACTACTTCGTTTCTGTTCACATCGATTTGCATCAACTTTCCGGATACCTTTACCCATCCTGTGCCTGTAGGGTTATCTGCAGTCATTCCCTCGCGGTAAAAGATGTCATTAGCAGAATTTACGCCAACAACAAGGTCCGTTCCTGAGCTAATCCATTGCAGTTTTCCAGGAACCTGTGTCCAGCCTGTTCCAGCAGTGTCGGCGTCACCGTACGTTCCCACTCGGTAGAAGATATCGTGTGCCGAATTCACTCCCCACACCCCAGATTCCCCGACACTAATTTGGATGAGTTTCCCGACGATATGCTGCCATGAGGAGCCAATCCATCTGAAGATGTCCTGTCCTCTGTTCACTCCCCACACATGATCCTTGTTGCTCACATCTACGTTTGTCAGTGCTCCGCCGATCTGTTGCCATTTGTCCTCTCCCAAGTACTTGTAGATTGAATCGGCTTTGTTGACCCCCCAAACAGATGCTCCGGATGAAACTTGCACCAATCCACCAGCGATTTGAGTCCAGCTGTTTCCATCAGTATTAAGCTGGTAGATGTTGTCATTGCTATTGACACCCCACACTCCTGAGTCTCCTTTCGAGATCTTGGTAAGTCCTCCTGGAATCTGCTGCCAAGCTGCTGTTATCACCTTTTGAACATCATCAACTGGACAATCTTGTGTGTTGCAATTCTGGTTTTCTGATTCATTTCCCTGACATTCTGCTCCTTTATGTTGAGGTGCAGGGTTAGTGCAGGTCCTGGACCTAGTTTTGGATCCTCCAGCACATTCAGCAGAGCATCCAGACCAATCTCCGAATTCAGTTCACTCACCATCAACTGGACAATCTTGTGTGTTGCAATCCTGGTTTTCTGATTCCTCTCCCTGGCAGTCTGCTCCTTTATGTTGAGGGGCAGGGTTAGTGCAGGTCCTGAACCTAGTTTTGGATCCTCCAGCACATTCAGCAGAGCATTCAGACCAATCTCCGAATTCAGTCCACCCACCATGGACAGTGTCAGTGCATGTGTAGCCACATTTCTTTAAAACCTCCTCAGATTTTTCACACTTCTTTGCCTGCTTTTTCTTCAACTTCCCTATCGTCGTTACTGCACAGCCATCTATTATAGATGTATATCCTCCAGCACGGCACTTTTCATACTTCTTTACATTCTTTTTAAATTTCTTCCCCTCACATTTTACCCCTGCATTCACCAAAATGAAAAGAGTAGAGAAAGTTATAATCAGGATTAAGGTCCTCATCGCAGCAAACAAATTGAAACGTGATAGAAATTTAGATAATCGAATGATTGAGAACGTATGCTGTTAATGTTATTTATAAGATGTGTGTCGTCACCACCGGCCGCCCCTCATTCAATTGAAACAATAAAGCCCAAGAGCTCTATGAGGGAAACCTTTCAAATATCCTTAACTGATAGACAAAACTGGCATCATGCGAATGTGTCATGAGGTGTGGATGTGGAAGTGGATGTGGATGTGGATGTGGATGTGGATGTGGATGTGGATGTGTCATGATGTTAATTGCTTTTGTAGGCAAACGGCTACAATTCAAATGGCAGCGTTTGATCGAAACCTCCCCCCCCCCCCCCCTCGGCCCCCTGTGGGAATTAGGATGGGTGGGGTAGGGACTGGGGAATTGACACGAATGTTTTTAAAGTATATACAACTACCTTATGGGACCTTATTTGACCGGACATTAAATGAACGGACACAATTATGAACTAACATTAAAATTAACGCTCGAAAGCATTCAAAACCATCAAAAATTCAAATTTTTTTCATCTCTTTTTGGCTTAAAGTTTTAGCAGATAATTTGTAAATTAATTTTTTATACAATATGCAAGAGAAGCAGTCATTAAGCAATTAAATATCACAATATCTGTAGATCAGTGTCTATGATTATGAAAGTTGTGTAAAAACAACAGATACGAAATATGACCAGATTTGAATTTTGATATCAATGAGCATATCACAGGTCATCTTCGTCAAATGGGTTATCGTGCATTAAATATTCCATGCTTAAAGCATCAGTAATAACCGCTTTTTGAAAACAATTTTTTATTTGACCACCTCGCCACCTCAGTCCTGCATTTCAGTATAAACTTTTACAATATGTGGAGGTAGATAGTAACTCCGAAGAAGTGAACGAGGAAGCCGACGATCAAGAATGTGATCATGCCATAATGTGATGCTTAGAATATTTAAATTTTATACTAAAAAATTAAGTATAAAATTTGAAAGAGGGAAACCTTTCAAATTTTTCTTAACCGCTACAAAAAACTGGCAACATGAATTACCAATGTCCGTGGTAAAGTTTTATATGTCTAGTGGTCAACTTTATGTCTAGTGGTCAAGTCTTTGGCCAACAAGGTTACGTCAGCTCTCAGCAGGCGAGTGGGAGTGGGTTAAGAAATGCTTGTGATAGTGGATTCCTGGAAACCAATAAACCCCAGCTAGCCTACTCCGCTTTTATCTACGGAACCTCCAAAAGGTGGAATTTTTTTGCTGTACCGCCCCAGGGATTTCCGATCATCTAAAACTCTTGGAATAAGCTGTGTCAAGGAAGATTTTATACCAGCCATTATGGGCAAAAGATTTGTGCCTGATCAGATCAGAAAGATAGCTTTACTTCCCGCAAGAATGGGCGGGCTGAGCATTCCAGACTGCACTTCAACAGCAGAGATGGAGTACTCTAACTCAGTAAATGCTACAAAACGGCTCACAGAAGCGGTTTTTCAACAGTTTACTACTTTCCAACTAAACGAAGAACTGCAGCATGACATTATAACTCATAAGTGAAGTAAAGAAGGGTAAGGAAGAGCTTTACAAACACCAACGTGAAACTATTAGTTATGAATGAAGTACCCCCATCCACACAAAGGCAAATAGAACTCCTTAGTGTAAAAGGAGCATCCATTTGGTTATCCACACTCTCTCTAAAAGCATGTGGGTACGTCCTCTACAAACAAGAATTCTTTGATGCCCTCTCACTCAGATATAATATTACACTGTCTAGTGTCTACAGCTATAACAGAGGTCCCCTATGTGTATGTGGAAATCAAAATCATATCAACTATACTCTAACCTGCAAAGTCGGAGGCTACGTTTCACTTAGACACGATTCACTCAGAGATACAATAGCTGAACTCCTTACCACTGTTTGCAAAGACGTTGAAACAGAACCCCAGCTTCTCTCCGTTCCTCACACACTTGAACTATCTAATGGAACAAATAGACAGGATGGTGCAAGACTGGACATCAGTGCGAGATCGTTCTGGTTGCCGCTGGACATGGCATTCACAGATGTAAGGGTACTTCACCCTCAAGCCCAGTCCAACAGTGACAAGAGCATCTCGCAGATGTACCAATCTCACGAAAAGAACAAAAAAGTGAGTACAATGACAGAGACCTCAATGTAGAAAAGGCTACCTTTACGCCACTGGTATTCAGTACTCTGTACTACAGGAGGAATGGCGTTTGAGGATTCACAGTTCCTAAAACATCTCGCTGTAAAGATCAGCCTTAAGAAAGGCCAACGGTATTGTGATGTGATGTCATTCGTCAGACGCAGACTGCGTTTTGATTTACTCAGAACCTGTATAATCTCTATCATGGGGTACAGAGGTACCAAAAATCTTCCACCCACGGCGATAAGTGATTTATACCTTAACCTGATTAACAATCCTAAACCTTAAAAGGTCATGGAGTGCTTGTTCAGTGGGGGTCTAAACTGCTTTTTGTTGCGATGTGAATTGTTAGATTTTATTTTTAGTTGACCATTTTTATTTTACAAAGGGTTAAATTTTTTTACCCCAGTTTTTTAAATTTGTACCATTTTTATAGCATTTAATCTATTGTATTGGTTTATTAATTTTTCGAGGGTGTCTATCCTTTTAGCTAGACAATTACCATTGCTGAAATTATCTGTATACTGTTCGAAACATTTTCTATTTTCTCCACGGTTCATGCTACCCTGATCGCATTACGAGCCTACATTTTTTTTGTTTTCTGGTTAAGTTCAGGTAGTTAATCCTGTCTAGTGGTAGTCTAGATTTGATCATGTTGGGCCTGACTCAGGTTTCGGCTAATAATGATCAGGGTAGCAAGAATAAATGAATCGTGAACAAAAGTAGTTTCTAGAAAAATTTTGAAAAAATGTTGACTTATAAAATTTTCGGTCCGAGTCATCCTCGATACGTACCTCTGAAGGCAGAGCTCCCGCTTCCGATCATCACATGGCATGAAGTGCGCTTAGACACGTCTTGATATCATTTAAGAATGTGCAGTGTGTAGGCAGTAATTGAGAGACTCGGGGATCGAGGGACAATAGTCTTACATGTTCTGGAATTGCCGTTCACAGCACTACACATTCTCAACAATTTCCATACAATTACTACACACTGCACATTCTTAAATGATATCAAGTGTCTAAACGCACTTCATGCCATGTGATGATCGGAAGCGGGAGCTTCGCCTTCAGAGGTACATATCGAGGATGACTCGGACCGAAAATTTTATGAGTCAACATTTTTTCTAGAAACTACTTTTGTTCACGATTCATTTATTCATGCTACCCTGATCATTATTAGCCGAAAATGTTTTTTTCGATTTTCGAAGTCCGTACCTACATTCGGAAGGCTGTGGACGTGATTGGTTCCATATACTTGTAGATAACGTGATATTTGACCCGCAGATTTAAAGGAAAATACGCAAATTTGGTTAACAGATTTCAAGGAAAATGCGCGATTTGTCGCGGAGAACTTAAAAATCGCGAATTGTCGCGAAGATCTGAGAAAATCGCGGCAAACGTGAAACGTGAAATGTCGCGATTTGTTGCGGAGAATGGGGAAAATCGCGATTCCGCACGAGCCACGATTTCATTTTGTCCTTGTTCAGTACTGATAGCTTTAAGCATGGGAATTCTAAATGTTCAAATATAATTGTTTAATAGTAAGTAATTATAAATGAAATTCAGGCAAAAGCAGTATGCTCGCAAAGTATACAAATCAAGGACCCCTGCAATGGTCCAAAACTTCTGAAGTACATCCACTTTTACAACAAAGGACCTAATCCTAGCTTAGAGTGCCCCGTGGGTTATGAACCTACCATCTGTAACGCTCATTCCAACTGGGATGACTTGTGAGTTTATTTATTATTATATAACTTTATTTAAATCAAAAATAGAACATTTATTTTACCAAAACCCATAATCATGGGTAGAGTGGACCGCTGCCAGTGTCTCTCTTTCCCAAACAAAAGGAAATGATATTAATTTGATTGACCGTTCTCAAATGCAAAATGATACCGAGAATGAAATCGGTCGCTCGCTTTTCCCATTCATTAACGGCTTACGAAATGTATAAAATTAAATAAGTTTCGATTGATTACATCAATCAGATGCTGTAAAAATCTCTTTGGGTTGCGTTCGGGTCGATACCTAGTATTTCGGGGTAAGGGACAAGGGTGGTAGTTATTACTTATTGAACAAGCTGAAGTTTATTGAATCTTCATTGCCGAGTACAGCTGCCTTTGGGTAGTTCTTCTTAATCTATTACAATTGTAAATGAATGGGAAAAGCGAGCGACCGATTTCATTCTCGGTATCATTTTGCATTTGAGAACGGTCAATCAAATTAATATCATTTCCTTTTGTTTGGGAAAGAGAGACACTGGCAGCGGTCCACTCTACCCATGATTATGGGTTTTGGTAAAATATCATCTCTTTTTGATTATAATGTCAGGGTACTTTATAAAGTCGAAATATAAACTGATATCTTCATTAATAAGGAGGAAGTTTCAACGATTTCGAAATTTTTCCTTTAAAAACATTTCCTTGTGTTTATGGAAGCATATCGGTCGATCACTGACTGAATATTTTTGCATGTAGTTGTTTTATATATAGCTTGATAAGCATGCAAAGTTTCAAAGTATTTCAAGAAGAACTGTAATCACAACGGCACTCTAAAGTTGACAGAAAATGACGAAAACAGCAATTTTCAGTGATTTTAGCAATTTTCTATCAATTTGGGCGTGTCCCCACGTGTGCAACTTTTAGATTTTTAACTTTAAAACTAGCCTAATGCACAATTTATACCTGCAGAAAGCAGAACTGAGCTCCACAACCCAAGGCATGGCCCAACACCAGAGAATACTAAATCGCAAAATTGACGTTTTTATAAAATAATTCTTCAAAAAAGCACAAACTTCAATGACGATTATCTTTATAAAGGAGCAAGCTAGAAAAACTTTCCGGGAGATTTTCAGAATGCTTGAACAATTATCTAAGATGAAAATTTCCTCAGATTTTGAATAAAATTTCTCCTTAATGGTTTAAAATTAATTTTAAAAGTTATTACTTTGTCAAAAATCAAGTTTTAAAAACGGTTAACTTGATGACGTCATCAAGGGGTGTTTATGACGTCAAATAATTTTTTTATACAATGTAAACTAAAGTGTAAACAATTATTTGCAAGACCTGTGGTCGGAAATGGCTGTATCTTTTATACTTTTGAATCTATGGACACTTAAATACAGGCTACAATTGACTGGCAAAGCGTCTATCCCTGAATATATATGTATATCTATCTGTATATGTCACGACAATCTGTCGTAAAACAGGGGTTCTAGAAAACCCACTTCCCGATGTTCCTGAAACCTGAAACTTTTTTTGCAGTCGATTTGGTCAACGTCTAGACGCCCTAAAAAATTTCAGATCTCTAACTCGATTTTAACATGGTTTTTAAGGCACCTGAATATGGCGATTTTGGGTTTTTTACCGAATTTCGTATAACAGTGCTGGCGAGTATTTTATGCAAATTTCTTAAAAATCTCAACATAACTATTTTTTATTCCTGTCATCTTTGACATCAAATTAGAATGTTTTGAACTAAAAATAAATCTGCTGAACGACTTCCGATGAGTCTTAATGCCTGAAAAACTCCTGCCGGAGGCGGCGGCCTTCGGCCGCCGCCTCCGGCCGGAGTGCACGCTTCGCGTGCACGAAAGAGGCTTGTAACGTGTACCAAAGGGGGTATAATAGTAAAGGGGGTATAATAGTAAAGGGGGTACATAGTATACCCACAATAAATGCACCGGTCGTGCTTGCCAGCACTGTGATTTATGCAACTTCTTAAACAGCTTTGCCACTAGGCATAAAACCATTTCTTTTGTAATCTCTTGTTTCTAGCAAAAAAGTATATAAACCTCTGTTGAAATTCTTTCTAAGATTGATTATCATAACAAACAGATTAGCTGACCAAGAAATCAACGACAAAGGAATCATTCCAAACGATAAAGCTTGTGCTGTGTCGGGCTGCGAAGAAGATAGGTGGTGTGATATTACCCTGGTCTGCAAACTCATGGATGATTTGTAAGGAATAAATTCTCTATAAACATGATAAATATTATGTCAAACATGACAAATACGATTTCAAAAACTGACCATCATATTTGACTTGATTTTTACAAAAATTTTCAAATCTAATCCAACAAGCTTATAACTAAAAGCAAATTGATACATGAGCGATAAATCAGCCAGTATCCAAAAATTATCCTAAATTGCTTTTATCTGTAAAGATTTCCAATATTAATGTAAAAAATTGGCATAAGATTGATAACTTTTTAAAACTAACAACTTAGTTTAATTAAGAGTGCATGCTAACCGCAGGGTTGCGTACGCTAGTTTAACTAAGAGTGCATGCTAACCGCAGGGTTGCGTACGCTGCAGCGGTATGTCCGGACTGTGGTGGTTGGAACTGTGATCAGGATGAGGATTGTGATATGGTAGAGCAACTTCCTACCTGCTCCTTAATACAGACTGGCTGTGATGTTGACAAGTATAACAATGTTTTTTATTTTATTGTTCTTCGATGAATTTCACATTTGGATACTGTCGGCTGACAGTCAGCAGCATATAATTATATAACTATGAAGCCTCCTTTTTTCTATCCAATACCTGAAACACATAGATGTAAATGTGGGCCCTACTATACCGACAGTTGCGCCCATTTCCCACACCTTAACAGGCTATTAACAGTTTCCCAATCAGTGACGTGATTTGATTCGTCATGTCAAATTCTCAAAACGACAGTGGCGCCCAAGGACCACTTCCCATGGTAGCTTGATCTAGATAGGGCGCAACTGTCCGGCAGCCAAATTTGGATCTAATACCTCGTTCACATATTACGTAATCACTTTTTAACAAATTTTACCCCCCCCCCCCCCCCCTCCGTAATCAGTTTTACACATATCTTATCGTGTCAGAATTACACTAGCGTAATCATTTGAAACCCCCCCTCCCCCCTCGGCTGATTACGTAATATGTGAACGACTCCAAGGTGTGGAGAACACGGAGAGTGCGAAGAAGTGGGAGCTACAGATTACAAGTGTCACTGTGAGGATGGCTTTGAGTTTGATCTTGCTGGAACTTGCCTTCCCAGACACAGCAAATGTGAGTTTATAATTTATACCATATATTGTGCAATATGGTATCATGGTTTTGCATAAATCTGCTTTAACTTTGATGAAATCAGATATTATTTATTCGTTAAATGCAATCCCTGACCTTACACCAGATCGAACTGTTTACGGAGAGAATGCAATTGGAGATGATGCTCGCAGTTACGCATCCTGCAAGGAGGGAGAAAGGGTGATGAGGTTAGTTTACACTTCCATACCTTATTTAATTTTAATTTGTAGAGGTCAGGGAGCACTTCAATGTTATTTATTTTCTTGTTGTTCAGGGTCTGGACGTCACTAAGTACTTTAATTAAAGTATTAATGCTTTTCATACAAAGTTACAACAAAGTCTTCATGTTGTGTATCCTGGGTTTGGACAGGATATTACTCGCTTAAAATATTTCCATCGCGTTACAGAATGTTTATAAGTGTTACATAATATTAATAAATGTAATAGATTTGTAGTGCTGTAAAATTGTAATTAGTTATGGCACTTCTTCTTCAGTTGCCACACGTTTGGTGCACCAAGTGCTGCTGATGGAGTTACCATTACATCGTCAGGGGCAGTTTCAAGGTGTGAGGCTCGGGCTTCAAATAGCGTGAAATTTCCAATCTTGGTAAGTTCATGAATCATGATCACCGTGAATATTAATGAGAAATATTTTTGATCTTGAATTGTGAGGAATGTTAGAAATATAATATGTTAACATTGGTACATAAAATATGACAATACAAGTGAACTATTAGGACTCTTTAGCTGAATTATAGTTTCCATAGTGATGAACGAGCAGGTAAGCTAACTTTGTTTAATCCAGGCAGTTGCCTATTGTGGTAATGATACAGTGTACACTGACCCTTGCACCCAAGATACGATACATGGCATGGAGTACAGGTAACTCATATGACGTAGTTTCTATGACGTAGTTTCTATGACGTAGTTTCTATGACGTAGTTTCTATGACGTAGTTTCTATGACGTAGTTTCTATGACGTAGTTTCTATGACGTAGTTTCTATGACGTAGTTTCTATGACGTAGTTTCTATGACGTAGTTTCTATGACGTAGTTTCTATGACGTAGTTTCTATGACGTAGTTTCTATGACGTAGTTTCTATGACGTAGTTTCTATGACGTAGTTTCATGACGTAGTTTCATGACGTAGTTTCACCAATTTTGTCAGCATGAATAAGAAGTTGCTACTTTGAAACGTCGTTTATACTAACAGTGCAGTATCATTTGTCGCAAGAAATCAGAATAATCAGAAACTATTTGGAACTCCCAAAAACTGTCTGTAGTTTCATGACGTAGTTTATAGCAGTTTTTATCGTTGGATTGTACTTGCACTTTAGAAACACTTTTTATATCACTTCTTCATTTGATTGTAGATTGTACTTCTGTCTATTAATTCAAGAAGTGCATTATGATTATTAGAGCTTATAATTCATGAAGGATTTGCTCTGAATAAAAATTTAAGAAATTTTTAAATCACCAACTTCAAATTCTTGAACAATAATAAAACATTAGTGTATTCTTTCTATTTTGATAAGGTACAATACGGGACAATCTCCATACGTGACCTGTCCTGATGGGTATTTTATGCAGAACTGTCTTTTCCACAGCCCCTGGTCACAGGTATTTTACCACAAAACTCTTTATTATGTTTATTTATGTCTGGTAAATGTCTGATTCGATTGTATCTTTTAACTACTTTATTCGATATTCCAGATTTGGTCGTCAAAATTATCAATTTCTATTTCACATTTTGTCTTTCATAAAGATATTGGTAATAACACTATCCAGTCTCTAACATCGGCCAACAAAGCACGCATCAAAAGTATCAGTTCAATCGATGTAAATGATGATGACTCTTGTTCTATGGACAACTGCTTAGATAATCCTTCAGCTAGTATGTGGTGCAAACTAACTGCTATCTGCAAAAAACTAACTGGGTAAGAGTCACCACTTTAGTAACTTTAGTAATCGGGTTAACTTGTAGCTACTACTAATTTACTAGGATCGCTTTTCTTATATCACTGGTTTACTACATCTAATACATCTCAGGAAAGTGATCACTAGTGTTATACTTTTATAAATCCAAACTCTTATGACTTATATTCGGATCAGTTTAATTGAATTATTAAAATAACATTAATTGCGTCCAGTGCGGAGTACCTGAAGGAAGCTTGTCCAACCTGTGAGGATGTGAGATGCCCAGTAGGAGAGGAGTGTAACATGGTTCATGACCTGCCTGTTTGTTTACCAAGGGTTCATGGTGGTTGTGAAGTGGCGAGATGCGGTCAAGGTTTGTTACACTCACTTGTAAAACATATCAACACTATGATAACCTATTCAACTATTTGGTTTGAAATACAAATCAATAGCTGTGTAGGCAAACAGGTACAATGCCGGCCCTCTAACAGCCCTCTAACAGCCCTCTAACAGCCCTCTAACAGCCCTCTAACAGCCCTCTAACAGCCCTCTAACAGCCCTCTAACAGCCCTCTAACAGCCCTCTAACAGCCCTCTAACAGCCCTCTAACAGCCCTCTAACAGCCCTCTAACAGCCCTTTAACAGCCCTCTAACAGCCCTCTAACAGCCCTCTAATAGCCCTCTAACAGCCCTCTAACAGCCCTTTAACAGCCCTCTAACAGCCCTCTAACAGCCCTCTAATAGCCCTCTAACAGCCCTCTAACAGCCCTTTAACAGCCCTCTAACAGCCCTCTAACAGCCCTCTAACAGCCCTTTAACAGCCCTCTAACAGCCCTCTAAATAGCCCTCTAACAGCCCTTTAAATAGCCCTCTAACAGCCCTCTAAACAGCCCTCTAACAGCCCTCTAAACAGCCCTCTAACAGCCCTCTAACAGCCCTTTAACAGCCCTCTAACAGCCCTCTAACAGCCCTCTAATAGCCCTCTAACAGCCCTCTAACAGCCCTTTAACAGCCCTCTAACAGCCCTCTAACAGCCCTCTAATAGCCCTCTAACAGCCCTCTAACAGCCATCTAACAGCCCTCTAACAGCCTTCTAACAGCCCTTTAACAGCCCTCTAACAGCCCTCTAACAGCCCTCTAACAGCCCTCTAATAGCCCTCTAACAGCCCTCTAACAGCCATCTAACAGCCCTCTAACAGCCTTCTAACAGCCCTCTAACAGCCCTCTAACAGCCTTCTAACAGCCCTCTAACAGCCCTCTAACAGCCCTCTAACAGCCCTTTAACAGCCCTCTAACAGCCCTTTAACAGCCCTCTAACAGCCCTCTAACAGCCCTCTAACAGCCCTCTAACAGCCCTCTAACAGCCCTCTAACAGCCCTTTAACAGCCCTCTGACAGCCCTTTAGCAGCCCTCTAACAGCCCTCTAACAGCCCTCTAACAGCCCTTTAACAGCCCTCTAACAGCCCTCTAACAGCCCTCTAACAGCCCTTTAACAGCCCTCTAACAGCCCTCTAACAGCCCTCTAACAGCCCTTTAACAGCCCTCTAACAGCCCTCTAACAGCCCTCTAACAGCCCTTTAACAGCCCTCTAACAGCCCTCTAACAGCCCTCTAACAGCCCTTTAACAGCCCTCTAACAGCCCTCTAACAGCACTCTAACAGCCCTCTAACAGCCATCTAACAGCCCTTTAACAGCCCTCTAACAGCCCTCTAACAGCCCTCTAACAGCCCTCTAACAGCCCTCTAACAGCCCTCTAACAGCCCTCTAACAGCCCTCTAACAGCCCTCTAACAGCCCTCTAACAGCCCTCTAACAGCCCTCTAACAGCCCTTTAACAGCCCTCTAACAGCCCTCTAACAGCCCTCTAATAGCCCTCTAACAGCCCTCTAACAGCCCTTTAACAGCCCTCTAACAGCCCTCTAACAGCCCTCTAACAGCCCTCTAACAGCCCTTTAACAGCCCTCTAACAGCCCTTTAACAGCCCTCTAACAGCCCTCTAACAGCCCTCTAACAGCCCTCTAACAGCCCTCTAACAGCCCTCTAACAGCCCTTTAGCAGCCCTCTAACAGCCCTCTAACAGCCCTCTAACAGCCCTTAACAGCCCTCTAACAGCCCTCTAACAGCCCTCTAACAGCCCTTTAACAGCCCTCTAACAGCCCTCTAACAGCCCTCTAACAGCCCTTTAACAGCCCTCTAACAGCCCTCTAACAGCCCTCTAACAGCCCTCTAACAGCCCTCTAACAGCCCTCTAACAGCCCTCTAACAGCCCTTTAACAGCCCTCTAACAGCCCTCTAACAGCACTCTAACAGCCCTCTAACAGCCATCTAACAGCCCTCTAACAGCCCTCTAACAGCCCTTTAACAGCCTTCTAACAGCCCTCTAACAGCCCTCTAACAGCCCTCTAACAGCCCTCTAACAGCCCTCTAACAGCCCTCTAACAGCCCTCTAACAGCCCTCTAACAGCCCTCTAACAGCCCTCTAACAGCCCTCTAACAGCCCTCTAACAGCCCTCTAACAGCCCTCTAACAGCCCTCTAACAGCCCTCTAACAGCCCTCTAAACAGCATGGGCAAATAGCCATAACAAAACACAAATAATCATTTAAACTCACAGAGTTTTGTACTTACAGGTGATTGTCAAGAGGATGAAGCTGACTACAAGTGCCTTTGTTACGAGGGCTACAGGTTCAATGGAGTCACGTGTACAGATATTGATGAGTGTGTTGAGGAGGACCCTTGTGGTAACGGACTGTGCAATAACACTATTGGGTCTCATACGTACGTGATCTTTAAAAATTCGCCCAATTATGATTTCCGGAAATATTCACTGGCCGTTCAAACGAATAGAAGCACTTCTCCTGGATATTCGGTCAATACTGCAAACTCCAGTAATGTTAGAGCAACCTGAATTATTTAGATCGATATGGCTTTAACCACTGTAACATATAAAAGTATAAACTAAAATGTGTATTTTGTTTAGATGTGATTGTGATGAAGGTTATGTGTCCCTAAAAGGAACCTGTGAGGATATCAATGAGTGTTTGGCTGACCCCTGTGATGAAACAGAGAGATGCTCAAACATTGAGGGTATCTTGTTTATATCTTAATTGTGCTTAGCCCGTCATTTAAAATTTCGATTTATTAGGGGTCGTTCACATATTACGTAATCACTTTTTGAAAATTTTAAACCCCCCTCCCCCTCCTTAATCAGTTTTACACATAGCTATTGTGTCAAAATTACACTAGCGTAATCATTTGAAACCCCCCCTCCTCCCTCAGCTGATTACGTAATAATATTTGAACGACCCCTTATTATCGTAAATTCCTGTGTCGTGGTGCCAATAAATCAATTAAATTTATCAGAGGCCGAACATTAAACATGTTGTTTCTTCCATGTTCACCTAAGTTTTCATATATTGTACAGGGAGCTACATCTGTGACTGTTTGGACTCACTAGTAAGGGATCACAGTACTGGTGACTGTATGTGTGCTGATGGTTTTGAGGAGGATAAGGATGGAACTTGTGTGGATATTGACGAGTGCGAGCTGGATCCTTGTAAAGACAATGAGGTTTGAAATTTTCTGAAATATTCGGTTACTTGATTCTTTATCTTAATTATTAATTAAGAGTAATTAATTAAATTTAAGTTATTGGTTAAAGTAAAGCAAAATCTGGATTCTGGTCGTTAAAATCTTACAAATATCATTATCTTAGAGTTAGATGTTCAACCTTAATTCATTTTACAAGGTATTTCGTTTTTTTGTTGTAGAGAACTCAACAAAAGAATTAAGCGAGGAATATACCAATGATTCAGTATTCAGGTGATCCAGATTCTCATCATTCTCAAACAATCCTTGTTAAAAATTAGACTTACCCACAGGACTGCTTCAATACAGATGGTAACTATCACTGTGAGTGTAGGGAAGGCACAGAGAGAGGAGAAGGGGGAGTGTGTCAGGAAATGGAGCCGGGTGAATGTGAGGTCATGCCTATTAAATCAGTTATTGGAGCTTTCCGAGGCAACAATGTTAACGTTAAGGTTTTTATAGTTTATTTTTATTTTTTAACGTTACGTTTTACTTTTAGAACTTTTATCATTTTAGAAAGTTTAACTCTTTGAAATGAGCAGGCTCGCGATTATTTCTGATAAAATTTTCAGCTTCGCGGAGAATCAAAGAAAACCTTTAAAAAGGATACTCGTATCACCTGGACCAGGAACAATGAACCTTGGAATCCTGATGAAGATGGCACTGATAAAATGAGGGGTTTCATCATCAGGTATACATTAATTACAGGGTGTCATGAAATAATGGGGAAATTGGTAGATCACCGACCGGCTATAAGCCGGTTATAAGCCGGCTATAAACCGGCTTATAGCCGGCTACAATTTTTATAGCCGGCTATAAGCCGGCTTATAGCCGGTTAGTAGCCGCTTACATTTGTTGTTGAGCGACGGCTATTAGCCGGTTATAAGCCTGCTATTAGCCGTTTTGGTATCGAAAGTGGTTATAAGCCGGTTATAAGATATTAACTCAACTTCATCGTACTGAACGATAGTCAGGAGCCGGCTATAAGAAATTCAGCGAAAACGGCTATTAGCCGGTTATAAGCCGGCTATTAGGCGTTTAGGTATCGAAAGTGGTTATAAGCCGGCTATAAGCCGGCTATAAGATATTAACTTAACTTCATCGTACTGAACTGAGTTAATATCTTATAACCGGCTTATAGCCGGCTTATAGCCGGCTTATAACCACTTTCGATACCTAAACAGCTAATAGCCGGCTTATAACCGGCTAATAGCCGTTTTCACTGAATTTCTTATAGCCGGCTCCTGACTATCGTTCAGTACGATGTAGTTGAGTTAATATCTTATAACCGGCTTATAGCCGGCTTATAGCCGGCTTATAACCACTTTTAATACCAAAACGGCTAATAGCAGGCTTATAACTGGCTAATAGCCGTCGCTCAACAACAAATGTAAGCGGCTACTAACCGGCTATGAGCCGGCTTATAGCCGGCTATAAAAATTGTTAGTAGCCGGCTTATAGCCGGTCGGTGATCTACCAACTGGCCAAATAATGAACATGAGAGTTATCTGGAACGACTATATACTTTCAATGGTTGTAGTACTATAGTAACATATTCTAACTAATAACTATTAACTATACGTTTAAATACAATGTTTGTCCCTGAATGAAGATGCATGATTATCATTTATCATAACATGATCAAATCCAATATCCATCAGCGGTTCATCAGCCATGTGTAATTGGAACTAGTTTGAAAGTATATAGAATTAATTTTCTATTTTTAACTTCAGACTTCTCCCACAGAGATTTTGATCCAGAAGATGCTGGCGTGTATGTAGGGTCAATATTCATCGACCAAGATGGAAAGACCTCCAAATGCCAGTTTGACCTGAAGATTGAGCTACTGGATGGCTCAGTAAGTCTCAGGATAACTAATAAAGCAAGTCTGATGAGGCCTCAGAAAGCAGGAAAAATACTTAAAATAAAATGTGATGTCGACATGGTTAAGGTAGGTGAACAAATACATTTTACAATATAATTGCAATACGCTTTGTATATGAGCGATAATTTGCCAAATTTATGTTATTGTTTAATGTAAAAGATGCAGAAAGTGATACTTTAAATGCACCCAATTTAGTAATATGAATAACCTGATAATAATTCATTAATATTTTATATATTTACGACTACGTGCAGATTTACTTATATGTTATAGGAACAGATATTCATTATTCAGTTAAGGTATTCAGTTTTTACCCTTTGTAAAACTTCTACAAACACCAGGTAAAACTGGACGATCCCAAAAATCCGGACAACATTAACTGGTACAAAGTAACAGCTGACGGAGAAGTGAAGCTCGATGATGACTCTCACAGCGGCATGTACATTAAAAAAGGCGCAGGTAAAATTTACCGTAAATAACGAAGTTTTTTATAACTTGGCCTTGGTTAAATGTTGGTTAGTAGTTTAATTAATGAGCTGTTGACCATAATTGTTAATGGACTAGCCCGGCACGCGCTACTTCGTAAAAATTTAGACGAGTAAAATCCGTCAAAATGAGCTGTGGCATGACGTATCATTATCAGCGTGTACGGATTTACAACTTTTGAAACACTAACAGCACGTCTTATATAACTATACGCTCAAAGCTATGAATCTAAAATTAAATAGTTAATTAATTTAACCAAAACCCATAATCATGGGTAGAGTGTACCGCTGCCAGTGTCTCTCTTTTCCAAACAAAAGGAAATGATATTAATTTGAGGAACAGTCCGCTAATGCAAATTGATACCGAGAATGAAATCGGTCGCTCGCTTTTTCAAATCAATAAGCTTTATTACAATTCGTGAGCCGTGATCGAATGGAAAAAGCGAGCGACCGATTTCATTCTCGGTATCAATTTGCATTAGCGGACTGTTCCTCAAATTAATATCATTTCCTTTTGTTTGGAAAAGAGAGACACTGGCAGCGGTACACTCTACCCATGATTATGGGTTTTGGTTAAATATCATCTCTTTTTGATTATAATGTCAGGATAATTTACACAGCTACGTAGTCGAAACACAGCTACGTAGTCGAAACTTCATTAACAAGGAGGTAATTTCGACGATTTCGAAATTCTGCCTTTGAAAACGTTTCCTTGTGTTTAGTTAGGTATATCTGTCGATAACCGACTGAATATGGCACTTTTTACTCATTCAAGTTGGCATTAAATTCATATATAATGTCATTTAAATATCGTGGAAAGCAGAATATTGGTAATCTTGTTTTGTCTGAGTCCGTAAATGAAGGTGATTGGATAAAATATACTTGGAAGTTAATGTAATATTGAACTTATAAACATAGATAAAATTTTTGATTAATCAGTTTTATGAAGGAGCTATCTTGGTAAAATGTTTGTAGTATTATGAAGAATTGTTCACGGCTTGTTGCGATTTGGTTTCTTTTAGCCGTTATATTTTATGTTTCTTTTGGATAAATTTGTGATTGTTGTTGTGTTTCAAGATGTTATTTGTTGTTGTTATATTTCGTAGTATTAATAGATTATTTTAATAGATTATTTTAACATTGTATCTTTGCAGCTATGTAAGTTTTCAGTACGTCCTGTTTATGACAAAGGCATGTAGCCGAAACGTCGACAAAGAATTATGTTTTAACACACTGAGTGGAGACTCTCATTTCGTCAACTACAATGAAAGCAGAATATATTCGAAATCACGAATGAGCAAAATTCTCACCTTTCGCACGTGCAAACTTTGAGCGGACGTTGCGTGCGCATACAGTATTGAATCACCGTAAATTTTTGCATAGTGATATTTAATATATAGTTTGATAAGCATGCAAAGTTTTAGAAGATTTCAAAAAGAACTTGGATCACAACGGGACTCCAAAGTTGATAAAAATCGTGAAAATCAAAATTTTTAGTGATTTTAGCTATTTTAAATCAATTTGGGCGTGTCCCCACGTGTGCAACTTTTCGATTTTTAACTTTAAAACTAGCCTATAACACAATTTACACCTTTAAGAAGCAAAATTGAGCTCCACAACCCAAGGGATAGCCCAACACCAGAGAATACTAATTCACAACTTTTGTGTTTTTATAAAATTATTCTTCAAAAAAGCACTAACTTCAATAGCAAATATCTTTATGAAGGAGTAAGGTAGGAAACTTTTCCGGTAGATTTTTAGAATGCTTGAACAATTATCTAAGTGAAAATGTCCTCAGATTTTGAATAAAATTACTCTTTAATGGTGTAAAATCGATTTGAAAAGTTGTTGTTTTGTCAAAAATCAAGTTTTAAAAACACTTAAATTGATGACGTCATCAAGTGATGATGATGATGATAAATTATTTTTCAATATAAAGTAAAGTAAAGTATAAACGATTATCTTTAAAACCTGTGGTTCGAAATGACTGTATCTTTTATACTTTTGAATCTACGGACACTTAAATGTAGGCTACAATTGACTGCAAAAAGCGTCTATATATATCTTCACGACAATCTGTTGTAAAACAGGGGTTCCAGAAAACCCACTTCCCGATACTCCTGAAACATGAAATTTTTTTTACTGTCGACTTGGACAAGGTCTAGACGCCCTGCAAAGTTTCAGATCTCTAACTCAATTTTAACATGGTTTTTAAGGCACCTGAATATGGCGATTTTGGGTTTTTTACCTAATTTCGTATAACATGCTGGCGCGTATTTTGCGCAAATTTCTTAAAAACCTCCACATAACTATTTCTTATTCCTGTCATCTTTAACATTGAATTAGAATCTTTTGAACTTAAATGTACCTGCTAAACTACTTTCGAAAAAGTCTTAATGCCTGGAAAACAATAAAGGGGATATAATAGTATAGGGGGTAAATAGTATTGTGAATATAAGGGCGACGGTAATGCTTGCCAGCATTGTGATAAATATGCAAATACTTGCAGGGAATTACCAGCTGATATTCACACAACCCAAACACGAGGATAGCGGCACGTACAGGTGCGAGTTCGACCAAATGGGCGTGTCGGTTTCTACTGATGTCACAATAGATGTGGTCTAACGAATATAATGAAGTGGAACCGTGCAATAATAATATGCAACGAAAATAATATTGAATTGTTTAATAAAGATTGTTGGATTTAAGAAATTGAATTAGACTTAGAGACCGAAATATAAACTATAAGCATTTTAATTACTCGTTTTTTAGCTTAATCAGTTCTGTTATGGAAGACTATCTGGTCAAATTAAAACGAATTGCATACTTAGCTGTTTAGATTCTGAATTTTATCACTATCAATAGGATACTCAAACTTGTTTTATATCGTTGTCGGACGTTGGTAGTGCTACAAACTATAAATGATTAAAATCGATTAGTTCTGACGTTAGCTATAGAGGTTCTTTCACAATTTAATGCCTATTTTTGCGGTATTACAGACGTATTAATTATGAAAATAAATTTGTTGAAACCCTAACATTTTCTTGAAATATCTAAATCGATTTTTCGAAAAGACTTATGTATGCGTGTCTTATAATGTCATTAAAAAACAATCCATATTCTCTGTCGTCGAGTCTAGATAATTTATAAGGGACCGTTCACTTTTTTACATGAACAAGCTATTTTGAATTTGACCGCAGACGTGCAGTCTTTTATTTATATTGTTTTGTTTTGAACAAGTAAAATAGATCCGAAGAAAATCCATTTGTCGTTTTAGAACTTGAACCGTAGAAATCAATTTACAATTTTAATTTGACCATTGAACTTCATTAAACAGGACATCACAAATAGATTCTACACAAATACCCTACCACTTGAATCCAAAAGACAAATTGATACGTTCAAGATAGCTCTAACCGGATCACATGCAGCTCCACATCAGATATGTTCAATTTATATCTGATACCAAATATACATTACATTATAATGTACATACTACATATTAATGTACATTACATTCCCGGACTTTATCGTTTATATTACCATTGACATTAATATTATCTACTATTTCCAGTTCAAGAAAATTCCTTCAACTTTAAATCAGGTTAAGATCATTTAACAATCTAAATCTAACAAAAAGCTCAAACCAATCTGTTATCATACCACAATTAAATATTCAAGAAAAAATGAAGCTTTAAAATGCACAATCACTGAGAGTAGAGATTAAGAAAATATAAGAACAGGAAACTGAGCTCTATTTATACAGCTAACAATAATACACGTTGAAGCGACTGTTATATAAACCACGCTCTCAATTTGTCAGCGGGAGGGATAGGAATTGGAGATTGGGAGGAGGAGGAGTCACTCATAGTTTGATAAAACGAGGTACAGTATTAACACACGAAAATACATCTCAACTGCCCAAAACACAACTTAACCGTTGAAAGCGAAAAATAAATACATGTGATCAAATTGTGATGAAATAAAAAACTACGATTGTCATCAGCCAAGGACATCATATTACAAAAGCTTCCAGATTATCTTCATTCACTGCACCGTTAGGGTAAAGCTGATCTTAAAGTTGTTCACAAGTTAACAAATTAAGTTCTTTTCAAATCTCCAATTTATCGACATTTACATATTAATATGTAGTTTTGATATACCTAACTGTCACCAAGATGTAAATCAGATCGAACCAATTGTTCGATCTAATTAGATCGAACTGCGCGCGTCCAGTTTAGATCAAACCAAACCTCGTCACACAGCGCTGACACGTATATTAACCTTATGTTTAAACACTGCTATGACTTTCGCGCAATACATATTAGTATTGCTTTGATATAAACCGTTTGATCGAACGGTTTAAGATCAAACGGTTGGATCGTACGGTTAGATCGGACGGTT